GAATATTGTGCCAAGTTCTTCAGAGTATCACTATCCGAAAAGCAAGAATGAAGCATCAACGCGTACTTGTTCTGGTCCTACTGGTTGTCTTAGCACTATACTGTAAGTTTTGCTCACATATTTTTGCAGTAAACTGTTGCTTTGTTTACATAGAGAAGCTCATGCTTTTGTTTTATATTCCTCTACAGCATGTGTAAAAAGTATGTTGTGGTTACTGGTGAAGTGCAAGCTACTTTAAAGTATAATATAATAAGGAGAAATTTATCTTGTGATTTGATATTTGCTGTGATTTGCTGAAATATAGAACCAAGAGAATATGTCGTATTTGTTTAAGGTAAAGAGAATGAGGCCGCCTCATTCCCTTGGAGCTGTGCGAGCCTCAATGGGGTTTGTCGACAAGGAGTGTGTCTGCCTTCAGAGCTCTACTTCGGACCGTTAGGCTGTGGGAAGGGATCTTTGTGAGTTAAAATATCACTTCAGTTCTATTTCTGATAAAATGCTTACATCATCATATACGATTTTTCATATTGCTGTTGTCGGAACAAAACCTCATATCTCCAAAATGATAACTTTACAGGAGAAGGAAAAACTACTTTACTTTCAATGTAAGTCAATGGAACCAGACATTTTTTTAAGTCATTTTGGGTCATTTCTTTTAGTCCATTCATCATGAAACAGGTATTTTCAAATTATGTCAAAATCTGAAAAACGTCAAAAATGGAGATACAAGGTTTTCGTTCGACTACAGCGATATATGTTTTAAATATGCCAAAAGCAATACCAGCATATAATAGCATTATGCAATAAATTAAATTATGTATGAATATATGACTATGTTTTGTTTTCTTGCCAGATGCTGCGTGTCACATTTCCTTTGACCGCTGAGCACTAAATCATAAAGCAGTGGTAGTTGGCTACTGAGGTGACGCCTGTCATGTGAATTCAGTAACTAATGTTTTGAGCTCTTTTGCTGACCACTACTCAACAAGCCTGAGAGGTCAAGATTGGAATTATCTATTTGGAATATCTTCATATATGAGCAACCAGCTCTCCTCTAAGATTACTTTTCTTAACAAGAAGAGAATGTTGTTGATTTATTATGCTGGGCTACACTGTTTAATATATTAAATAAACCAACTTTGGTCAGATTTATACACCAATATGAGAATTGTGGTGCAGTGCCAAAATCCAACATTTTTCATGTTCAGTTGTGTGCAAAACTTTGAGCGCTCCTGGTCAAAAGACTTTTTTTTGTTTTTCTAAGTGAAAATAACAGAGACAGACAACACACTTCTGACCAGTTTAATGCACAAATTCATCTGCTCAATTTCACATATTGAAAGATAAAAATATGATAATAGTAAGTTATTCAAAATATAACACAATAAAATATTATACATGTGGCCTGTGCTAAAGTCATGGCACATTTATAAGACATCTTTTCCAATTTGGTAAAAAATAGATATTATACATTAAAATCTGCTTGAAAATGCATATTTAGGTGTGTTCCCTGTAAAGTATGTGTTAACTTGTTTTCACTTAGAAAATCAACAGAACATGTAATTTGACCAGGAGTGTTCAAACCTTTGCATATGAGTGTATATATCTGCTGATGCTGCTACTGATGCCAATACATAAACATTTTTAAAATGTAGAAATTAAGACTAGATCCACATTTACTTCTGTAGGATTTAAAATGCAGTAACATGAATACAATGCAGATCCTGGGAACAGTGTCATCCAGCGTCACCTACACGTTCTGCTCTTCCAGAGAACAATTAATAATAAAAAAACAGCCTCACTAAGTTTGGGTTAATAATGTAAACTGCATCCCAATGAATGGCTAAACAACAGTTTTGCCTGTCTGCCACAATAAAATATTTTGAAGGAATAATCAACATACATACATACATACATACATACATACATCATCTAAACCGCTTATCCTTCTGGGTCGCGGTGGGGTGCTGGAGCCTATCCCAGCTGTCATTGGGCGGAAGGCAGGATACACCCTGGACAGGTCGCCAGTCCATCGCAGGGCAGGGAATAATTAACAGAAACACTTAATGATATATTAATATCTAGCACCTTATAAAGAGTAGGACTTTGTTTAAGTACTCTGTGTTGCAGAATTAAAGGTTTAAATGAAATCTAAAAACGTTTTCACATTAAAAGACCTGGGCTGCATAAACACATCATTAAGATTTAAACAAAGTCATTCAAAGTGTTTGATGTGAAAGCACATTTTCCAGCAACTTACTGAGTCATTATTGTTTACAGCAGTGGTGATAAGAAACAGATGTCCAAAGACTTTGACGCCTCTAAAAGCTACCTAGCTTTCTATTACATTAAATGATACATTGCCTAAAACCAGAGACATGGTTTTAGGAATCTGCAAGGAGCCTTTGGCTTAAAATGTATTTTTCCATCCAGTAATGGCAGAGATGCAGGGTGTTGTAAGATAAAATAGTCCCCAAAGGAAACACATGATTCACTGGTTGTTTGAGTAGTAAGTATATTGGCTACATTTGTGTTGCAGACTTTACGACTCCTAGTTCTAATCACCACCATTGAAATCTGCACATTAAGGGAAACTTTTCATAACGCTGCCTGGCACTGGAGTAGTGAACATGATATGTTGAAATATATGTTTGACAAGTGCACTTAAACTATCTTGGAGTTATAATTACATTTGGATAACAGGACACCTTCCCTAAGTATGGAAACTGGCAGTAGTGGTCCGAATAGGGAAGGCTGGAGAAAAGACTTCTCTAATTTTGCTCAGTATAGAACTATATCTCTGACATCACAGTTGAGAAGACTGATGCAGTGTTTGGTAACTGAGAGGTCCTGGAGAGCTTACCTTCCTGCATAATACATCTGATCCAGCCAATCAGGAACTTCTGAAGAAGTTCATTAGCTGGAGCAGGTGTTGCAGATTTTGGTTGGAACTAGACACTGAAAGAAGGGAGCTCTCCAGGAACCGGGTTGGAGACCACTGCTCTAAGGTGTATGATAGTGAGATCAGAACTCCAAAGGGCAGAGTGTGCAGCCAGTTTAATATTATGATTAATTTAAATTTATCTGAGGTTAGCCCAGACATTGCTAAGTCACTATATGCGTATAATGAGGCCCTATGGAAAAGGGGTAGGAATCTCACATTTGTAAAAAAAACATGCAGGATGCAATTACGGTGAAGGAACACTGGACAAATAATTAAGTATTTAGTACAGCTGTTGCCAAAACTCAAGTCATTTATTTTTTAAGGAGACCCAAAATAAATGCAATAAAAGTGTTTTGCTAGGGTCTCAAGCAAATAAAGGTGGTCAGATTTGAAGAATTCAAACCCTAACTGTACCAGGGGAACCAGCCTGATGTCTGGAGAAGTGAAGTTTATTCGTTTGCACGCAGGTACCAGACACCTAGTCAGCCCGTAAGACAATGGGCTGATGCAGCTTTATAGCTGGACTGATGCCCAGCCTATACACGACAAGTGACAGGTGTGACAGACATGACCATGTAGGGATTTCTACAGATTTCTTGGGAAATGGATGGACTCAAAGCTGACTTGGAGACACCACACTGGGAAAATGTCTGAAAAGTATATAAAAAAGGCCTTTATGTCCCCAGATTTTTTAGCTAGATGTGACTAGGGGGCTGACTGAACATCTATTTGCATTGACCAGGTCAGTCTATGGTTGTGTGGCCTACAAGTTGCCCGCTGCGACTAATTTGAAACAACTTGACGTTATACAAGCACAGTTTCTTTAGCTGCCCTCAAAAGTATCCAAACTGGATAGTCAAATTGTAGGCAAGATTTTATACTGGAAATACAACAGGTTCTTTATAGGCTAGAAATGCAATGTGTATCTGATAGCCTTCTGTGGATACCAGCACATGTTGGAGCGACAGGGAATGAAATTGCAGATTCAGTCACAAATCAATGTCTTAAATGACCAGGATGCAACTTAGTTGTTCCACTAAGCAGGGCTGAGACAAAAGTTTTAGTTAAAAAATATGTGTGAACATTGTGGCAGAATGCTTGGGAACATGAACACCAAGGTGTGCATGCAATTAAACAGTGGGTTGGTTTAGCTACAGTTAGGGGATCAGAGGCAGGAAATTGTTATTACATGCCTTTGAACAGGAATACTATGTTGAATTCCTCACTACATTTAATACAGAAACATGAAGCAGCTTTTTCAGTTTTTGTGTTTTTTTCTGGGGTTTATGATCTTATATAGGTGTGTATTTTTGTATTGTCCTCCCCTTTAACTGACAATTTCACCAATTGTTCAAAATTTCCGCATAAATGCCTAATAAACATTTATTCAGAGTGCTTTGATGCAAAGTGCTCTGTTCCAGAGAAACTTACTTAGTCAGAATTGCTCAAAGCAGTAATGATAGGAACCAGACGTCTGAAGAGCATAATGCCTCTTAAAGCTCCTTCACAGAAAGTTATTACATGAAATGGTTATGAATATTCTGCCTTATGTCTGGGCCATGTTTGAACCCATTCATGGTGGAGGGATACATGCAGGGTGCTGTAAGTCAAAACAGTCCCCAAAGAAAACGTATTATTTCAGATTGAACACTATTTTACCATCATCAAAATTACATATAAAAACCCAAAACCCACAAGACACGTGCAGGTTCACTGGTGATTTTGGATAGTAAATAAAATGTCCTATCTGCATTGTGGGCACTGCTCTCCTGGTTCCTGTCACCACCACTGTAAAGAAAAACAGAGTAGGAAAGTTTCTCTACAGTGAAGCATTTCACATTAAACCACTCTCAATGACTTTGTTTACAATTCAGTGACTGAATTAAGCAGAAATTTCCTCTTCAGGGGATGTGCAGGGTAGTCCCGCTTTTTGTGAAGTCTCACTCACTCAGCTCAGCAGGTGGCGGTAGTGCACCATACGTCAGCCTGCCAACGGCCATTCACACAAAAGCAGCAGCCGCGGAAGAAGAAGAGTCGCGAGCCCACATGACAGGAAGTAAATAAAATTCCCGCGTTTCCCACACAGCGGAGTGTGTTTCGGCTCTGAGCGACCATGGACGAGCTCTACTTAGACAACATAGACGAATATGTTAACGATCAGAATAAAATTGTAAGTTGTTTTTAGTACTGTTTTCAGACCAAAGTCTCCGTTTATTCGCGCCGAGCTCGAACATCCAGCTAACTTAGTGCTGCAGGAAAGCGACAGCATGAGGACTCCGGATCAGAACTCAGCCTGTCAGGACTGTCTGATTAAAATCAGAATATCTGAGGAGGTTATAGTGTTTTTTACGCCGAGCAGCTGTGTTACCTGATGAATTTACAGTCAGCGTCTTGTATTTTCCTGTCAGAACATTATTTAGCTAGGTTAGCTGTGTTAGTCCTGCATGATGGCGCCACTCTTTCATCTCCTTGCAGCATGAAACGTTATAACATTTCATGTTATTTGGTGAGTTGTCCCTGATCAGGATATGTGAACAGGAGATGTTAGCTGCTTGTCCTCGGCTTTAGTCTTGTCACCATTATGGACCGCGAGTGAACCCTTAGATAGATAAGCTAGCTTGGTTATATCAGTTTGACAATAACTTAAACTTTGAAGAGCAAAGATATTAAAACCAAGTAAAACCAACGAGAAGTGGATCGACACATGCATGGTGGAAACCCATGATCTTACCGGGATGTGCTGAGGGCATTCCGGAAACACAGATTAAGAATTGGCAGGCAAGAGGAGGGATGAGGATGATGATGCTCGAATGCTTTTCTCTCGGGTTGCACCAAAGTGGTCATCTGCAAGGAACGAAACCTTTCTAACAGCATTGGGCTTGTTGGATTGCTATACACAATGAAATGTCATTGTATACTTGCATTTGCAAAAATAAAAAAAAACTCGAAGACATAGATTGTAATGATTGTAGATAAGCCGTACTTTGGATTAACCTTTGGATGACATAAATGGGTGATACGTTAAATGGAAGATAAATAAACAACATAGCCATAATGTTGAAAAATATAGAAAAAGAAATTGCTCTCTTGGCCTGAATTTTAGCACATAGTTGTTTTGCTGGTACAGCTAAATTGGTACTTTGCTGTTAAGGTTGACAAAATCAACAGATATTTCATAATATGTTCATAATTCAGTGACTAACATTTAATCCAGGTCATTCAGAGTAGTTTAATGTAAAAATGATCCATTGTAGAGAGACTCAGGTTTCTTTACAGTGGTGGTGATAGGAACCAGGGTTATGATGTCTACAACACAAATATAGCCATTTTATTTACTGTTTAAAATGACTAGTGAACACCAAACATGTCTATTGAGTTTTATATGTAGTGTTGATAATGGTAATACACAGGTAATTCAAACAAAAAAAGTTGTTTTGCTTTACAGTAGCCTGCTTGTGTCACCACTGTGAACAATTCTGAGTAAGTTTCTCTAGAATGGATCACTTCACTTCCACCCACTCTGACTGACCTTGTTCACATTTAAATGATTTAATTATGCAGAAATTTCAATGAAGTCTATTATTATTGAACCTATATGGATGTTTTAACCAGTTATCAGCTGGTGCTGAAAAGCTGCCAATGTTGTCATGCATTCTTAGTAGGTACTAAACTTATTGTGATGATTTTGTTTAAACAGGTCACCTACAAATGGCTCAGTCTCACTCTCGGTGTGCATGTCAACATTGCTAAACAGTAAGTCTTTGGTAACAATCTTAAATCTCAATTCAACAAATTGTTCTTGAGATGTGCCAACGTTGCTGTTGATTTGTTGCAGAATGCTTTATCACTACCTAGAGCAGAGACGCAAGGAGAGGTCTGGAACTACGCTGCATGCCACCTACCTTGTATCTGGAAAGTGCTCTGAGAATGGCAGTGTGGTAAGCTTGACCACTCGAGTCCTTTATGAATTTGAATCAGGACTTGTCAGTATTACAGATTTTGTCAGAACACAAAATATTCCTGAAGAGAGTTTCTGTCATTCCTTTTAGTGTTATAAGGTGTCAGTGGTGCGTGAAGACCAGCTTGAGGGTACGTTTTGTTTATTTTTTAATTACAGAATTTTGAGCAATCTTTGCGACAAAGCAGTGGTTAACATATTGCAAATTAATCTAATGAAGACAAAGTTTTATTTGTCATATACATAGTCATACATGGTACAACTAGCAGTGAAACGCCTGGAAGACATTTGTCTTTATTAAGTGGGGAGACTAATGTTCAGCTCAAACTGTTATTTAAGTATGTAATATTTGTATTATGTATTAAGTATTATTTAAGTTTCTCATTCCTCTATGATTGCATGTTGCTTTTCCAGATACGAAATCCAAGCTGGAAAAGACTATTAGTGTGCATGTGTACAGCATCCAGAAAGCTGAGCTGAAGGACAGCAGTCCACTCTACAGTACAGACTATGATGCTGTGAAGGAGAACTTGAAAAATTGCAACAAGTAAATGATTTTAAAGCAGTGTTTCCATGCATATTATTGTTAAAATCATGTGGACTGTTTAAAACAGTTAAACATAGGAACATTACGATAATGGCATTGTGCAACATTGCCGAAACTTCTGTCAGACCAGGCTGTTTCTGACTATGCCTGATTCTTTTGCTTTAAAAAATGCATAGTACCTTATAAGAAAAATATATACCTTGTACAGATCTCTGTAAAACCATTAGTGCATTAGTACTTGCATGATATGGAAAAATAGTAGTAGAGTCCTACTAACATTTTAAAAGCATTATACAAGCTTCTCAGTAATGTATTCCAACACAGTCTCACTGTTTACAGGTACAGCGCTATCCGCTGTGCAGCTGCTGTGCCACTGTCCCCAGCAGAGCTACAGAAAGCTCAGGAAAAGGTTCAGGCCACTGTACTGGACAAGGACGCCACTAAACCAAGCCTGATTGACCACACGGCTGCTGCTACCAAACCAAGTGTTAAACAGCCTAAAGGCATCATGGGAATGTTTTCCAACAAACCTGCCCCAAAAAGTGAGCAGTGTAACAAAGAGGTGAAAACAGAACAGAAAGATGATACCTCTCCAGTAAGTATATTTTTTTGGACATTTTAGTTTTAATATTATTTCCACCTTTTGTTAGTTTTGCGACTTGGCTTTAACTCAGCAGATGATCCACAAACAGCTTCAAAGCTGTCATTGTCAACTGTTATTCTCTTTCAAGGCTTTTTATTAAAAAAAACAATACTCTTATGCTTCATGTAGGAATTCTGATGGAGCTACCTTTGCTATAATTACCATTTATGTTTCAGTCTGAAGGACCTAAAACTAAGGCATCCTCCAAAGCTAACGCTATGAACAACTTTTTTGGGAAATCAGCAGACAGTGAGTATACTTGTTGTAAGTCTCTAAAACCTTTTTTGAAGTGTCCATCACCTGACTCTCATTTTTGAATGTAACAATTTTTTTTTGTTAAATGCAGAAAAAGTTATCACTGACAAGCCAGACAAAAACATCAAAGAGGAGACAGAAGGATCTCAGCCATCAACAGATGCAGTGAGCACCAAACCATCTCAGTCCTCACCCAAACCTAAACAGGACATAAAAGAGGAGCTACTGAAGGAGTCTGCTGCAGTTAGAGGTGACTCCAAAGACACACGGAGGTAAGATTTAAACTTTTACTTTGTGGATGTTTTTGTAAAGAGCATCAGGACAATGTCATGCATAATCCCTAAGAGAATATTACTCCAGTTTTCTATCTTCCACTCTAAAGTCCCTCAGGAAGTAGCATATTATGTAACTGTTTTAGAAAGAATTCATCTACATTACTGTCTGAGGCACCTAAGCAAAGCGCTTAAAGCCATTTAAATGGGCAACAAGTGTTTCCACTTGTAAAAATACTGTATAGAGAATACATACTGATATTAATACAGTAGAAATTAACAATAATGTTGAGATGATGTGAGCTATTTAGAAGAACACAGGTTTGGTTACAGACTTCTCTTTGATGTCCTCAGTCATAATATACATTTGCTAAATTTTATCAGCACACTTGATTTAATTTAATGAAGCACTGATTTGTCAAACTAGGTATTGGATGATAACTGCAAATTCTATTGGGCTGTCATTAAGAGTGTTTTATAAGTGGTTAGGTGAACAGCATTGACATACATAAGATCACTGTTTAATAATGTATAACAGGGGTGTCCAGTCTTATTTGCAAAGGGCTGGGGTGGCTGCAGGTTTTCATTCCAGCAAAGCAAGAGATCACATAATCAGTTGTTTGACTGAAACCAGACCAAAGAAGTGGAATCAGGTGTGCGCCTGCTTGTTTGGAATGCAAATCCGCAGCCACCCGGCCCTTTTGTGGGTAAGATTGTGTACGCCCCTGATGTATAATGTATTAATGTTATTTTAATATTTGATTGTATTGATTTTGCATTTATTGTAATATTAATGTTTTTCTGAACACTTAACACTAATAAGCTTTGTGTGTAATTTAATGTTGATGGCATGGCTGCTATTACATTAATCTGAAAATATTTAAACAGTAAAACGAAGCGTATTGAGCATTCAGACAGTGAAGATGAGAAGGTGGACAGTCAGAAGAAGAAGAGACGGAGAATAAAGAGGCCTCAGCCTGACAGCAGTGATGACGAGGGTAGGAAAAACAATCATGCGGTTTCAAGTCTGGCTTTTATGAACCAAACCAGATAATAGAACTTATGACTGCCTGCATCCTGAAATTAAGACAAACAAACAAATGAATCCACCTGCAGGGACAAAAGACGACCTGAAATATTATAGTTGTTCTCTGTGTGCAAACAAAGTAATTGACAACATTCATTCTCTCTCTTAGTAATTCCAGATTCTCCACCTGTGCCTGAAGTGCAGACGCCAAGTCCCGAAAAGCAAGTAAAGAAAGAGCCTGTTTCACATCAAGAGGTGAGAATTCTCAAACAGATTTTCCAGCATTATAACATGAGCATTATTAGCATCAGCAAGAAATAGCCACCTCCCAGAGGAGCGGACTCTGAGTAAAGACTGGTTTGTTGTTTCTGCCAGTTATTGTCAAATAGTACCAAAATGAAACCATCCTTCTTTTCCTTCTGAATTTTTCTTGAAAATCTTATGTTTTATCTTCCAGGTTTCAGAAGGAAGAAGGAGGAAAAGAAGACGGGTTTTGAAGGCACGTACATTTGTCGACGATGAAGGCTGTATGGGTAGGAATAATTTTACTTTTTATTTATTTTAGAATGTGCTCAGAGATCACAGAACAATGTTAAAATGGATGATTTTAATTAAGTAGTGCGCACTGTCAGGACGGAGAGTTTTGACATTTATGAGAATGGTCAGTTCGGAATTCATGTGTTTTTGTTTCACTGCACGTGCACCATAATTCAGTGTTAATGAGTGTGTTTACATGCACTTAATAATCTGATAACTGCAGAAAATCATATTTTTTGTCCATGATTTGTTCAGTTTGTTAACATGCACTTGGGTGATAAGATATAGAGAGAAAACTCGCAATTGTCATGCCGTGACTTTGCCAGAAAATATGAATATACATCATCTAGAAGATGAAGAATATTGCAATTTTTCATTTCATCAAGGATGTAGTTTATTCCAGGATTGCTTCAGAAATTTTGTAGCCATCTTGGGGTGCTGTGTTAAATGCTGCTTGCTGTTTCTGGGACAGTGCTGTGTTTTCACAGAGGCACAGACTTAGAAAATTGAAAAGTCAGATTAAGGGTATACATGCTCTGAAAAAGCAATTCGATTTTTAGAAAACCGATAACGGCCTTTGCCTGATGAATTTGATCATTTTATTGCTGTGCATGTAAACACACTCAATGTGGCAGCAGTGCCTAACCTGAAGTTAGTGCCAGTAAACGCTACAAAAGCAATGCATCTGACCCTTTTTTGCCTTTATCTTGCTCTAATAATGAACAGCTGAGAGCTGTTCAGAGCCAGTTATCTTTGCAATGAAGGCTTGTGCTGGTTAGTTTGCTGTTCATTAAGAACGTGGGTTATGTGATGTTATTGATTAGTATGTGCGCATGCAGGTCATTACAGGACACTGGTTCATTCACATTACTGGCAGATTTGAGACGCTTACCTACACAAATGTAAACGATTGAGAATGAAACGTCGAATCTGAGCCAAAAATCTGAATTGAGCAGTGGGGCTTGTAGTTGTAAGATATTTAATTTAGTGCAGGACTTGAACTCTTGAACATCTCAGAATGAGTACCGTCTTTTGGCATTAGCGAAAAGATTTATCAGTTTGCTGACGTGTAACATCAATAAAATACATGCAGTATTGTCTTGTCCAGTAATAAAATGCATTGTATATTTCTTTTGGCAAAGTTACTAAGAGTAAACACAATGGTAAGACAAGGCCGTTCACGTCATGTTGTTGTATTATATATTCATCTGAAGAAAGGAACTCTCTGGGAGTGAGAACACTAGCAGAAATGTTTTTTCTGGCAAGCTTGGACTTCAAGCACTGGTGTAATTTTTATGTTTGGCAAAACGAAAACTCATCTAATGTGATGCAGCGCCTGATGCCAGCTTCTTAGTGTTCATGGAAAGAAATGGAGAAAGAAATACTTTATAAGGTCCTTTATGAAAAAGAACTTCTACAGGGACTTTTATAGGCTAAGTAAAGTCACCCAATTACTATAATTTACTATAGGATGCTACACAAGTATTACTGCATTACTGTCAGATCCAAATCATGTATCTTTTTTTTTTTATAATTTCATTTTAAACCATCAGACAATGCTAGCTGCCCTTTGCATTATGTAAACATTTCCATTATGTATGGATTATGGAAATGGTCCACATTTACTTAATGCAATGAGATTATTTTCCATTAAAAGTTAAGAATTTTTTCGTTTCCTTTCTGTTTTGGAGGTATACACTATAGACGTATAAGCGCAAATAGATTATTATAGCAGTATAAGCATTAGAAAGACAGACGTTTAGGCACTAGAGATTATTACTGACATATAGGCATTATACAGTTGTATGCAAAAGTTTGCACACCCCTGGTCAAATAGCATGTTTAGTTAACACCTTCTCTATAGAACACACTTTTGCATATTTTATTGCACATTTACTGTTTATTTGCTGAATTTAACATATTGAAAAAAAATCCAAAATGTGGCCTGCGTAAAAGTTATAGGACAATGTTTTTATTTTATTTTATGCATATTTTATGTCAAACAAGCCAATAACTAGAAATTGTGCACTAAAATTTGCAGACGAATGCCATATTTAACTTTGTCAAATCAACAAAAGGTAATTTGACTGGTGATATTTAAACTTGTGCATATGACTGTAAATAAATATATAAGTATAAACATTACAGATTATTATAAAATTAAGCACTTCAATAATGATACAAATAAGCACTTCAATAATGATCTACCTTTCTTATATATAAATATTCATTATTGAAGTATAAGCACTAGATAATTGTGTACACACTAGAACTAGAGCAGCACAAGCACAATAGAATATATAAGTATAAACAGTGTAGAAATATTTTCTTATTCTATTGCGCACTTTCTTTGTAAAAGCTAAGTTATTAATAGTTAACATCTTTCTGTTTTAGACAGATTCATTTTTCTGTTATGGGCTACATGCAAGTAAAGAGGGAATAAAATTAGAGAGGCTGTGCTTTCCAGGAAAAGGCTATTGCAACTTGAATATTATCCTTACTATCAAACTGTGCAAATAAGCTCAATTTTATTCTTCTTTTTCAATTTTAACCTAGTTACTGAGAAGGGCTATGAGACCGAATCCTATTCTGAGAGTGAAGATGACTTCAAGACCACACGTCAGCCCTCTGAGGATTCAGGCTCAGTCAAGCAATCGCTTGGAAAGAGAGAGGAGGAGAAAACGTCCAAGGGGAAGAGTCAGAAGAAGGCTCCTGCTGCGGCTGCAAATAAGTCATCTAAACAGGCATCCATCATGGGATTTTTCCAAAAGAAATGAACTTACCAAAGGCTTCCAGTGACCTTCCATCACTGATGAAAAGCAATGGACGTAATCTTGTGCTGGACATACATAATACTTTTTTTCCATATTAAAAACTCTCCAGAAACAACTAGACTGCCTTATGCACTTAGACATGCTTGGTGAACAGTACAGCATTCCACCAGTAGAGGTCCCTGCAGTGCTTGTCTGGAGTTGGTCAGTGCTGAATTTTGTCCTTTGCTATTAAAACTGTATGTAAAGGAACCACCGAGATGCTGGGAATATGCTTGGGACACTTACAACTATATGCCATACAAAACCTCAGGCGTTGTACTTAAAATTTTCCTTCACTGCTCAGTGGAGAACATCTTGAGCCGGAATGCTGTGTTTTTTCATCTTGAATGTCAGTCTGTTGTTTCATTGATAGAATAATAAACTTCACTTTGTAGTAACACCTTTTGTAGTTATTATAACACCAATGTTCTCCAGAACACTGTCCAAGCCGAGTTCTTTGAAGTCTTTGTGACTCATTAATTGCCATATGTAAATGCTTGTGGAAGATGTTTTTTGGAGGGAAAAAAACAGGATATGATAAATTCAGAAAGCATGCTTCCTTTTTTTTGTTCATTTTTTGGTTCTTGCAATTTGTGTTCTTGCTGAGGGTGAATGTTTTCTCTGTATAAGTTTACATTTCTACATGACATCAGTCTCTGGCACCATGGTTGGCCTGATCTCTGAGGTTTTGATTTATTAAAACAAAACTGACTGCTCGGGATGGCATGTCTCTGGAAATACGCACTGAACTCGGGCAAAGCCTCTCTGATCTAGTGCCACAGACATGAAATTGAGCTTTTTGTGCCAAACCACAATTTTCCCCCATAACCTCTTTTCCCCCCCCCAGAAGTCTGTAAACTTGACTTTGCATTTAGTCAGGGTTTTATCTTTGAGCAACACTGATGACAGAGATTAAATGATCAGCTGTATGTTGTTATAAAATTACATATTGTTGGAAACTAAGTAGGAGAACTGTCTGTTTTTGGGCCACTTTCATAATGAAATGTTGCCCCCTGACCTTGCATAGTAGAACTGGTTCCATAGTAATAACGAAAACATTTATAAATAAAAGTGAACTGTAACCCTGCCCTGGTCATATGTTCATCCATAGCTTCCAGAGCATTACCCTTGACAGGCCTCCCCTGCTGCATCCAGTGGCAGCATGCGTGAGGTGCCTGCCCTGGATCACATATCGTTCTCTTGTTTAAAATACTAGGTGCCTCTGTGTCTGAGCAAATCTCTAGCTCGATTGCATGGCTATCTTCGGAAAAATAAGCCAAGCTACTTCAAAGTGCTCTCAACTTGGCGTTGCAGTGCAGGAGTATGATTAACTGTTTCCAGGTTCATCTTCAAAGGTGTATTCTCCTTAGAGGATGGGCTGAGCTACTTCACAACATCTCCAGTTCCCAAATTAATAAAGCACACACACAAACAGTCTTACATCAAAACAAAAAGAAATCAACTGAAATCAAAACTCCTGTCAGACAGTCCAGGTATCATCTTTATGCTTCATATTTATGAAATATTGTAATCCTTTTTAAACATTATAAAGAAATATACAGTATCACAACATTTAAGGTTGCTAACAGAAGAAGGGCTAGAAAAAACAGTAAAGACATTTCAGATGCTTCTGACCATCTGAGCAGGATTAAGCATATGATGTTGAAACTCATAACTGTGCTGTTTACATACAGTGATTACATCTAAGAAAGAAAAACAAGTCAAAATTTCCTTATCTTGCTTTCCTCCATTCAGTGTCATGGTTTTGCCCAGCGTACGATTTCAATTATATTCCTCTTGCACAGCCACACAGATGTGGAATGCATTTTTCAGCCCAGGTGGAATAAATCAATAGGCATTTTCAAAATATATCAAGTGAATCCACATTATTAAATTCAAACTGGCCTTGGGCAGTCGGTAAAGCCATTAAATATGAAATTGTCTTAGAACTTCAGATTTTGCTAAAATACAAGATTGTCTCTTTTTCCTGGATGAAAATATGCAGCTCTACCAGAATCAACACTCTTCTACCGAGCTTTCAGAAGCGTTGCCCACACAGAAAATCCTTTAAACCTCTAAAACTGAAACGTATGGATTATACTGATATTTTTAGGGTTTCCAAATATATAATAAACCCTATGAATTTTGGATGTTCTGTTTGCATTACTATGTTTTTTAGTAGTTTGTGCTGAATTTGTGCTATTCTTATTATTAAAGGCTGATAAATGACCTCATATTAGCCTTAACTTCTCAAATGCAAGTTATAATTATTATAATATTACAATATAGATAAATACTGTAATATGTGGAAACACTGTATATGGGGCTACACAACATATACATAAGCTTTTCATGACAGCTGACAAACCTATATAGACGTCTATAAAAGTTACATTTCAACAAGTGTCAGATTTCATAACTGCTGAGGGAAAGTCACATTAAAATGACAAATACAGCCTTTATGACAAGAGATGCTTGCTGGTATACAAATGGTTTCTTAATGTTTATGTAGGTTTCTCTCAGTCACACAAGACCTATGTAGGTGTCATGTAGCCCATCAGTAATTACCTAATATATTGCTATACAATATTATAGTTATTCTCATCAAAGAATCAGCCAAGTAAATACACATACCTGTGTTTTTTGACAATCCTTTCTCCTGCACCAAACAAGAACATATTTAATAGAGCACTCAATGCTGAGCTATTCGTTTTTGAAGTCTTTGAGAGACAATTTATTATAAAAGGAATCTTCATGCACGATACAGAGCATTTGGTGTATGTTTACACCAAAAATTCACACAGTCTGTCATTTTTATGTTCTCATTTTATGGACAGTAAATGAAGCTGTAACTAACCAAACTAATTGCAAGGCTTCACGTCTCTGATACTGTATGCTGCCTGTGGCTGACCCAAGGCTGGATGAGGGCACATAAAAACTTTACTGCCTCTCCAAAGTTCTTGTTTTTATTTGGAAGCTGTGCCTTTTAGATTAACTGCAACAAAATACATCAAACACCAATAACTCAACTTTCAGTTCTGATTTATTTTGACAATCCCCCCCTCGTTCTGTGCAAGCAGAACCCAGAAAAAGTAAATCATTGTGTATTAATTGAAAGCAGACTTTTACACATGGTCTTCTGACTGGGTGATATAATCGTAGTTGGCTGCTGGAAGATTTCTCTGGGTCCAAATTGGAAAATATGCAAGACATGGTTGGAAATGAGGCAGCACGCATTACTTCTTTGGGAAATCTTTCTGGGAGCATTGTCTCAGGGACTATTCTGGGGCATGTGCAGGTTTGAATCTGCACATCTGGAATAATCTTTGCAATCAAGCCTGAGAGAAGCTTGTACTTCACCGTTTTGGATCAAAAACGTAAAGCTTGTGCACTATTTAAGAATATTATTAGACGGTGTACATGCAAGTCCCTGATTGCACCGCAAACACTTTACCTCTCATTCATCAATCTGTCACATTAGTTGACTGGGCAGTGGGATAGCCATTCATCATAATCCTTTTGATATGACGTTCGTGTGGAAATTGTGGGTTGATTACCCTGTTTTCCATGGCAAAGGCTAAGCAATCTGCTTTCACTCACTTCAGAATGCCGGAGCCACTAATGTTCAGCATTTTAGAGTTTACTTTCATACTGGCAGCACAACTGACGCCCTGCAAAGCCTATAGAAAGAGGTGAGGAAAGCCTAAACAAAGTCTTCTAATATAGCTCGCAAAGTGTGCTAGTACCTTCCATCTGCCACTCTATTAACTTTGAGTGTTTTTCCTGTGTGAACCTCAAACAGTGGGGATCAGGAAAAGCATACGGATGACTGAAGTGTTTATGACAGGCGGCTCAGTATTGTCCGTACCTCCTTGGCATGGTTCTGATCACTGGCTGAAATGATCGGGGCCAACTTAATTAAGCAGAGGGAGAAGGCGTAAAAAAAACAGCCCCCTTAAAAGATTTCGGAAGTATTTTGATGGCGCGTTAATTCAAGGGTTACTCGAACACCTTAATCAGCTATGAAAGCAAACACATCTATCAGAGTTAATTACCTTAACCCAGTTTGGCTCCCTTTGAATCAGAAGGCCGTCTGATTGATTTGCAATGCTTCAGTTCCTCAACGGCTGTGAATCTGTGAGGCACCGTGGAGTGCAGCAGCTCGGGGCCAGAGATTTTACATATTCATTCACAGTCTACCCACCTGCCTTAACCCAACACAGCGCTCTGCAGCACCAACTCTGAAATCTCCCACTCAGACCCATTCGGTTCTTTTCCTTAGACCTTAAATAACTATTAAACTTAGCCTCCCTAGTATGTTAAGATAATTTCCATTATAGCCTTTAATAACAAGAAAATGAGAACATACGCAGACTGCCACATCAAGGTGCAACTGAACCACTCTCCTAAAAGATTTAAGGCTTTAATACAGCCTGTAACAACGGGCAGCAAGGCTGAGTGGGCACGCTCATACAGAGAACTGACCCCTCCACTTGATTTATACCCAATGACTGCCCCCAGCTGTTCAAATTGCCAGAGCCAAGACTAAGCATGCATAGCAGAATTGGCCAAACGCTATTTAGAGGGAATTCAAAACCTCCATCCAACAATGAAGGAACCTTGCAGATGCCAAAGATGGCAATGTTTAAAATCAAGTTTGTGTTCCAACAGCAAGTGCTGAACTCTCGAGGGAGCCAGAATATTCCAAACCTCATCAGATCTGCATATATAATACACTTACAACACCTTATATTAGGTTCCTTTATGTCTAGTCATCAAGGTGTACGTTTTTTTTTCATCGCTCAACTCATTGCAAAGTAATGTGTGAAACAAACACGACGCACTACAGACGCACACACACTGAGAGTAAAATAGGAGCGCGGAGTAAAATCCTCTTTGTCTCCCTTTGAGCCATTCAAAGAGAACAAATTGCCAGAAACTGTCAGATCCAACAGCCAGCGGAAATAATTCACAGCTTCATTGTGTGACTATTAAGGTCTGCAACTGAGGGGCTTCTGTTTCAAAATATTTTGTCAGGCCTTCAGTGAGAGATGAGCAGCACTGTCTGGCACTATGTGTGAAGCCAACACAATGACTCATTGTGGCAGAGAAGGGAGGGAAAGTGGGCTTTCGGGGTTCAGACAGAAGGGAAGGGATATTAGTCACAACTCTCTGAACTTCTCCAATCTGTGCTCGGTGGCCAGGCTCAGTTCACTGTGATGAGCATGGCCGCCGAACAAAAGTGGATTATCCTCCACCTGGTGACCTGAACAAGACTGTCGACAAGCAGTTCACAGGCCTGGTCCCTCTGAAACTCGGCTTGGCTGTGGAACGACATCTCCATTAACCAACAACCCACAGAGTAACTGATGGCAAAGCCATTGAAATACTGTCTGCTTGTGATTTGTCTCAACAGGTGGCTAATACTTCGGCTGATTATATGTGCTTCAATTTTCTGGAGAGTGTTAACATTAGAAAGGAGGAAAAATGGAATACTGGAGTTTTTGCAGCACTGTTATGGTAATTAAATCATAAGATATACTGCATACAACACAAGACTCTTCTAGCCAGCTCCTTTTGGTAGCGGAAAATTCTGACCTACATTTATATCAAATTAATGGCGATCTGTTGTTGGACCTGTTCTGTTCGGTCATCACAACCCTTGAGAAAACAAACTGTATCACAAGCACAAGCCCACATTTTGGGCAGGGCAAGACACAGCAACAAGTCCTACTAAATGCTCTCACTAGTTGTTTCTCCAAAAAGAAAAAATACTTGCTTCTAGTTAAAAATTCTCAGATTTGATGCAGCTACACTATATGTCGGAAAGTATCCACACACCTCTTCTAATTAGTTGATTCAGCTCCTTTAAGGTGCACCCATTGCTCACAACACTGAAAGATATTTAGTTCAGCTTGTATAATCTCTATAGAAAAGTACTGCTAATATAATAAGATGCTCTGATCACTATGGCCACCACGCCCAACGCCAAGAGTCCAGGACCATGCTTAGCATACACTACTGTACAAAAGTCAGACATCACCCTCGAATATGTTTTCTGTTTTTTTCCTGAAGCTGAAAAATGTATAACATGTACTTCATGGCCATTTTAACTGGAAATTAAATAAATGAAAGAGGGGTCTGTAACTTTTTCACAGTACTGTAAATCTTGGTACAAACTTCTTATGTGCACACTCATATACTTACCTCACATTCAAATGATCAAACCCATGTGCATAAACAGGAGACAGACAAACAGTTCATTTCAGTCAAACTTATGTTTGTTACTCTGCATTTACAATAAATAGTTAATTTTTCATGGTATATATTTAATGATTGTATAACTAATGACAGTGATAAAAATGTGGCCTACATCAACTTTATAAAAGTATCCTGGCCAATAAGCTGTCTACATTACCTTAAGTTTTTTCACTTACGTACTGTACAAACACAGTGGTTGCTTGCTACAATCACATACATGAGTTGTTCTTTAATAAAGAGAAATACTTCAAACCCTTTCTCGTTTCACAACTGCTATAATACTGACACACCTAGAACCAAGACATTTGTATATGTTTACTTTCCCTCTGAACTGTGTATTTGCAAAAGACCACCCTGCTGACTTCGCTCCAGTTTAAGGCCTCTACAAAAGCTACTCAAAAAAGATGGCAAAATTGTACTGAACTGGCTCCTAGAGATAAACAACAGAACTATCTTCTGCCAGTATATGGTTTTTGTACTAAAGCACATTGTGTGTGTATTCTTTTTTTCTTTTTCTGATAATAAAAAAGGTGTTGAAGACTGATGATGATAACACGCTGTTCCAGAACACAGTGGAAACAGACTAAGAAGCACAAAGACTGTCCAGCTGCTCAGGGTTTAAGTACTTCACTACCTCCTTAATGCCATCTTCACAGGTCCTGCTCCTGTTGACGTCTCTCTCCTTGTCCTCCTCCTCTTTGAACTTTCTCCAGGTGTCTGTGGTAAGAATAAAGCAGTGTTTTGCAATTGTTTTGGAGAAATGAAAGTCTTGGAAAACAGTGTATTAAATCAACTACGCGGACAATGATGACGCTATGACTGGCCGGCCTGCCTGCCTGCCTGGCAATCACTGAGTAAGAAGGAAATCACAACATTTCCTCACATTATACGCAAAGATGTTCAATTTCCTCTGCTCTACTCCTATGACTCTGTCCTGATCTGCAGGTGCTCTCAGCTATGAATCTTCCACCTTCCTCCACTTTTCAACTACTTTCCTACTGTACGCCTGCATATTGTCACTGCTGGAATAAAAGCTTGTGTCTCTAGAATAGTAAGTTTTCAAGAGAAGAAACAATTTTAACTTTTAATGTTATTTAATGAAACAAGATGTTTTTCCAAGTAATTTTGCACCATTTATATCGACCAGATGGCACTTTCAAATGGTGTAAAAATGTTTTGATCTGACAGCGAAGAAATACTGAAAGATACCATTTCATCTTCAAATTAAGTGAACAGCTCCATCATGATTTAAATTACATAATTTTATAAATGAGCATACTTAAATTTACCAGCTATTCTAAAATATAATACAAGAAACGTGACCAAAATAAAGAACTCACCCTCATCTAACGTGGTGAGCAGAACATAATTCTCTGGATGCTCTATGAGGTCCTTTTTTTGAACATCACCTGTCTCCATCAAATGAAGAACACCTAGAAATATTAAAATAATTATTTCCAACATTTTCCATTTTTTAGTTTAAAGGGATAATATGGACAATCACATTTTCCTCATATTTGTATAAAATAAAAGTTTGACGTAGTATGTAAACACTGTTAAAGTTTCCAAACATACCATTTACTCTCCAGTCCTGCTAAAACAACACATTTTGAATTCATTGCTGTTGTGATGTCACAAAAATCTACACATTTACATATATCCATCCATTCAGCCAAAAGCAGTTTAGCCCCACCTATTCAGGCTGAAGTTATAAAGACCATTTCAGCCTGCACTGTTTTTTGAACAAGGCACAATACCAGGCAGCCAATCGGAAAAGAGCTCCTTTAAAGATTTTAGTTTTAAAGGCGCAGTAACAAAACAGGCAGTTTAATTAAAGAGAGGTTAAAGAGAGGTCAGCGAGAATGGCCTGGGTTCGATTCCCGGCTGGGCGACCAGGGTCGTTTCTGTGTGGAGTTTGCCTGTTCTCCCCGTGTCTGTGTGGGTTTCCTCCGGGTACTCCGGTTTCCTCCCTCAGTCCAAAAACATGCAGTTAAGATAATTGGACATGCTAAATTGCCCCTAGGTGTGAGTGTGTGTGTGATTGTGTATGTCTGTCTGTCTGCCCTGCGATGGACTGGCGACCTGTCCAGGGTGTATCCTGCCTTCCGCCCAATGACAGCTGGGATAGGCTCCAGCACCCCACCACGACCCAGAAGGATAAGCGGTTTAGATGATATATGTATGTATGTATGTGTGTATGTAAAGAGAGGTCATGTAACATTGAATTGCGACTGTTATTGTTATATAAAACCACACAAACTTCATAAGTGGACCTTTGGGAAAGATCAAATATAAAGCAAAATAATGTAGAGTATGGCTCCTTTAACATACAGAAACCACACATAATCAAAATCAGTGCCAGTCAGCACTTAACAAACTGAAAATAAATTAAGTAAAAACTAGAAAATTAAAGTTCTTGACTCTTTAACCTCCACCAGGGAACTCTCAAGTTTATAAAATAATCTACACATTTAAGTCAGTGACCGTAAATTTTAAATGGAAATTCTTTTGACCTCCTTTGAGTTTTAGGATATCTGTTTATCTAAACATTGTTCAAATGTGACTAAAGGCTGCCTTATAAACTTAGAACACTCAAATTAACTTAAACTCATGTGCACCAATTATGCCAGCACTTTATATATGTTACCTTCTACTGTTTTCCATACTTGCACCTCAATCTCTGTGGCTCCTTGTCTCTCAATGGCGATCGTTCGCACTGTGTCCTCTGTGTGAGCAACAGATGAGGGTTCAACCTTATATACCAGGAGACTGTTGTTATCGTGTCCTAGATAACACTCTGTCCTGTTGCTCTCGGCCTTAATCTCTTTTGGAAAATAAAAAAGCGAGAGATGCGATGTGTCAACACATACAAACCAGGGGTGTATCTGATTTACTCCAGAAAAAACTGGCAGATGATCCTGCCATCACTGTATTAAAGGTGTGTCATGCTACCTGGGCAAATCTTACAGCATTTCCCCTCTATCTTCATGGGATGTTTGCATGGGTACTGAGCGGGACATGTGATGCGTCTACACTCCTGAAGGCCGTCTCTGCAGGTGCATAAGATGCACTCCAGAACTTTGCCCAGCACAGGATGCCACACATCACCATGGGAGTAGGTCTTCCCACTGTACACGCAAGCTTAGACAAACAACTGTGAGTCAAAGGCCATATAATATTATCTGAAAAACAACAGTAGTAGCATTTACTTCAAAAATGATTCAGCTGAAATTACATCTTGTTTTATAGAAATCAAACCTACAACCCAAAATAAAAACATTAACTTGACACCTACTGTTGTAAACAATTCAGCCAAAATTGACAAGAGTGGAAATGTTGGTGGGGTTAATTGTAACAAACTGACTGGCTAGTTATCAGTAACAGTCTCTACAAGTCGGTTAAATCAACACAAACACTATAAACTCAAAACACAGTTTTATGTTGTTTGAATCAGACAAGCTTTCCAACCTAAACGGATACAAAAAATGTATTTTTGACCACAAAGCAGCAAATTACAGCAAGATAAAACTGAAATATATTATAGGTACATGACAACTACAGTATGTTTTTAATGAATCTGTAAATATAATGTTCCAAAATATGAACTGTTCTGAATTTGCTGGAGGGGATATAGACATCTCTCAGTGTTTATTTAGTGTTTATTTAGTTCTAACACTGTGGTAAACTGACCCTGCCATGTGGAGGCTGTACTTTAGCCTGGCTAGCTCTTTATATACAATTATATACAATGCTGTGGAAAAGCCAGAGACCACATTAATTTATTTTTGAGTCAAAAAGGCCTTAAACTTATTAATTGTTCAGGAAAAAATTAAAATGCCCTTTACACCTAAATATAAAATAAAACATTTCAGTATTTATTGTTAACCCTTTGCCTTCATTACAGCTTCCATTCTTTTTGGGAGAAATCTGCAGAAATATTTATCATGCTACTTGTAAATATGTCCAAAGTTCAGTCTTAGAAGTTGGTTGCATTTTCTGCTTCTCACAATCCAAATAATCCCAAAAACATTCAGTGATGTTGAGGTCTGGACTCTGGGGTGGTCAGTACTGAGAACTCAAGCAGCTTCTTTGTTTGATTTGCAAATTTTCTTCTTTTTATTTTCTTCCTTTTCTTAGTAAGGGCTTCCTGACAGCTATATATACTTTCAGACCCATGGCACTGAGCTGTCTTCTCACAGTGGAAGAGGAAGAATAAATAAACAGTGATCTCTGACTCTTGCACAGTCCTGTCCTTCAAGAGAGTGCTATCATACATCCATCAAGAGAGTGACAAAAACATTTTTTGCTAATCCTCCTGTGAAGCTCACCTCTCTGATGTTTGCGCTGTAGGAGGATCTTCACTGTGGTTTCAGCAGCTCCTTTCAGGTGCAGTGTGTGTAGGTTGAGGCCTCTCAGAGAACCTCTCAGGGTGGACGGAGTGGCCCGCACAGCTCGGCCCCTCACCTGCTCTCCAGCACACTGATCCAGAGAATGCCTCTTGGGTTTGAGGAGACACGAAAGAAACAAAGGTTGTGCTTTTGGAAATACTCACATTGTAGTTGTCAGAACACTTTTTATTTATTTATTTATTTATTTATTTATTTTTACATTTAAAAACCTGTTAAAATTTCATGATGCATGGAGCAAAAGAAATGCTCTGAAATTACTTGGAAAAGTATGTTGTTCCATTCATTTCCATTAACAGTTAAGAACATTTTTCCCTCTACTGTTAAGTTACCAGTTTGGAGATATCATGTTATAATGTGATGCGGCAATGCAACACCTACTAATAGGTTACTATCATATCACTACTGTGACTGTGACTACTGTGTTGAGAATGGTACACCACCCAAAAAATATCTGGTCCTATGGAAGTCCTTTTCTACAGATGGGTGGGTAGAATGTGGCTGACAAATTGTGCAGTTGAACAGAGAGGTTGGAGTCAGTAACTGTAAATCTACAGAGTGCTCCTATATGGGAGGTGCACCTGATAAAGCGGCCAATGAGTACATGTATAAGGTAGGTGTACCTTATAAACTGACAACTCAGAGTGGTATTAATTCCAGTCTGTCATGTGATTGGCTGGTCTGAAACCATTCTTATACATACTACACAGAGTGTAATGTTCCATAATTTATGTAAATGACAAAAATACATACCACTCCTCTGTTCAGTTGCTGTCCTCCATCCCCATATGATGCTGAATTGATGTCAGTTGGACCCTCTGATAATTTCATAGAAATAAGAGTCATATTGCTGCCTTAAATGTACTTGACACATCCCCTATTCCAAACCATATCTCTAACTTCAGCTTCATATTTGAAAGGTAAAATAAACCCACAATAAAGTCACAACTGAGAAATAATAATCATAACCACCTTTGCAAACCAAGCAGCAAGTATCTGGAACAGAGACAGGTGAAGAGCATGTGATGGGCTGACAGGTTTTCAGTGCACAGAAGATATTTCCATTCTTGAAGACAAAAAGGGAAAGAAAAACATAATCAAGACCCAACAAACTTTGTGCCTATGATCACTGACGGCATAACTTTCAAGGTTTTGTTCTAAGATTATTTTAGATGTTTTAGATTTTCAATGCTTTTAATTGTTTATATATACAAAAGCAGAGGCCTAGTTGTGTTTTCATACATATCAAGAATGTGAAAAAAAAATCGGTGTAAAAATGCGATGACTCACAGAGCATGTGCACATGACACATTGGTTGGACTGTCGAGATGGAAAGAGGTCATGGTTGGTGAAGGTCTCCCCCGTTTGGAATACAGTTCCGTTGTATCGACAAGTTTTAATGGGAGCCCTCAAACCAGCAGGAGTTCTGTGCTCATCTGTGGATTATAATACAGAATAGATTGATAGACGGATAGACCTGTAGGTCAGACCTACAGATAGACAGACAAACAGGCAGACAGACTGAATACCTGAAGGATAGATACCTTGTGTGATACAAGCTTCAATGTGAAAGAAGAGGCATGAGAATAAAAACAGGCAGCATACAGAAGGTCTGTTATTATTAGGTTGCATATCGTCGCTGTCCGAAGAAAACCATGTATCTCCATTTTTGTTGATTTTTTTTTCTACATCATTTCAACACACCAGCTGTCCTTTATGGTGTGTGAAAAATTCATGACGAATGGGCCAATAGAAATGCTGTAAAATCACTTGGAATAAAATCTCTTAACATTAACTTACATTGAAAGGTAAGAGTGTTTTTGCCTTCTCCTGTAGAGTTACTATTTTCAAGATACTTGTTTTTCTTTGAACAGCAACAATGTATTAAGGATGCACAATAATATCAGAATATCAGTATCAGCAGATAATTGCTTAAAAGTTATCAGCATTGGACAGATATTTAGATTTGGCCGTTATTTTTGGGTTAGTGTCCTTAAATGTCCATTTTATTCATTTTACTGCATTTGTAACCCTACAGAAATATGTTATATTTCTCTGTAATGCCAATCCAGGACAATCTCATTTTAATTTAATAATTTTTTATGTATCATAACTAGCAGATATGTACAAGACTTTTGGTAATCGGCTTTGGCCAACGATTCCTATATTGGTGCTCTAATTATTCCATTAGTGTGAAGGTTTGCAAGTCAACTTTAACCCCTTTAAATTCCTGGGCTTGTTTTATCGTAAGACTTATTATTCATGCAAATAATGCAAACTAGGTTATTCTTCAGTTATAGGAGTGAAGATTAGTGCATGGACCTGCTGGGGAGTTCAGGGGTTAATTCAACTGTTGCATATATTACCTTTATTATAATAAATAATAAGTGTTCTATGAAAAGATGGATGACATAAAGATGTTATGGTTAGTACTGTACTATACATTCATTTCTGGCTTGCACCCATTCATTTGTGATGTCCAGTGGCTGATGAACATTTTAGAACATCACCATCTGAAAATAACATGCTAGAACAGTGTTTCTAACCCTGGTAAATGCACAAGTCCCAGGAGCTCCTTTAACTTAAGAATGACACAGTAAGTTTGCACTGTTTTCCATGTAGTTACTGAATAACAAGTCTTAGGATGTGCTAAGTCTGAGAATTTAAGTGGTTAACTGGTCATGGCTGGTGCTTGAACAAGAGAGGGATGGTGACAGCTGAGCACAAGCTGTCACATAAAACTAGCCACCAGGAATGATTTCAAAGGCATTTAAACAACTCCAATAAAATCCTGATAGTTTGTGCATGACACACGACAGCATCAGACTCCTTCAGTGCCCACACAAAGCAACATTACTCCTGAAGCTTGTTTGGAATATCTGTACATGACTTTAAAAAGGTGAGAGTTTACCTGCACAGCGTGGGCAGCACTGCTGGGAGTCGGTCACTGGATTCTCGCATCTCAGGACAGGACACTTGATGGTGTTACATTTCACATGACCAGACTTGGAAGGGTTACAGGGTTGACACGGTTGAGAGCAGATGTTATGGTCACAGACACAAGAGGGCAGACAGACAGAAGGTTCAGACAACTCTCTCTCTCCCACTCTCTTTCTCTCTCTCACACACACACACACACACAAATATAACAGTTCTCTATGAAATCAGAAATCCATTCATGTATGCTGGTTCTAAGGAAGGTACATACTTCAGTGCAAGCACAACGCACGCAGAACATGAATCCAAATGGCTCTAGATAGGGATGCCAACTGTCCCCTGGGTTGTATGTCTTCTCCTTGAATGTGCAAAATACAGCAGGCACTGCACACAAGACAGTGAATAACACATTTAGACATCTCAGCACTCAGCGCCTACATCTGTCAGATCTGCAGTTTTACAGAAGCTGAAGTGTCATAATAGAAACTCTCTTACGTTAAATTCAAACTCAAACAAGATTAGGACTAAAGCTGAGACAGTAGACACACATAAACTGGCCTTAATGCAACAACAACCACAATCAGTTCCGAGCAGCAGTTTAATCACTGCTCTTTTCTTCCAGCGTTATAGCGAAACAGCCGAAACGTTATAAAAGAAGCAGATACACCAGATGATCACACTCAGACCAGGTCCATCAGTACCATCTCTAAACTCGCTCTAATCCATCGCGTGTCACTTGCCTTTCTTGCTCTGTACCGCTTCTGTTTCAGCAACCACGAACCAGCGCAGAGCGGCCAAAACGAAAAGATGTGTCAGGTATGACATCCTTCTCTCCTCGGTCCGAAACTTTCGGTGCACGATTGTCTTCTGCAACTTTCTGCTCGCTTCCTAACTGCGACAGCAACTGCCGGGGCAGTGTGAAAGCCTCTATAAAGCCTATGAGGCTCATCCGAAGCGCCTCCTACAGGAGAACACAGAACAGAGGCTTTTTTTCTTCTTCGCCAAAGTAGCGGCACAATCATCTCAGTGTTCAACTCAGTGTAGAGATTATTTGGCTGATGTTGCTGCACCTTGATTGCAAAGTTTATCAAGAAGTGCTTTGGTAAGCTCACAAATGTTTACAGCAGTGCTTTCAGCTCAGTTTGTCCATACCTCTCTACTTTTTTACACCTGATTCACTCCAAGAAGGACTTGATCACTGTATGATGTGAAGGGGAAAAAGTGTGCAGTGCAGGTGGATCAGAGCATTTTTAAAGCTTTATTAGTTTTTAGTTTTACTTTCTCATTTTGGTTTTTACTTTCTCATTTTGGTTTTGGCTTTCAAAGTTTTTGTTTTTATTTTCTGAAAAGTTTTAGTTGGGTTTCAGTTTTATTATTAGTTTTTAGTATTATGAAGAATACTGAGATAGGAGGTATTTAAAAAGGATGTAATAAAATTAAAACAGCAGTAGACTGAGGTCAGCTTGGCTCCAGTTTCCCTTAAAGGGGAATTCCACCAATTTTTCAAAATTTCTGCATAACAAAATGGTTAAGATGTGAACATAATCATTCAGAAGGGTTTGGTGTAAAATGCTTCGTTGTAGAGAAACTAACTGATTCAGAATTGTTTACAGTGGTGGTGAAGGGAACCAGACGTCTGAAGTGCTCAGTGCCTCTAAAAGCTCCTTCACAGAAAGTTATTACATGAAATGGTTATGAACACAATGCCTGATGTCTGAGACATTGAGTGCGTTTACATGCAGTTTATAATCAGATAACTACAGAAATCCAATTATGATTGGATTATTAAGTGCATGTAAACATACTCATTGTTTTACATTAGTTATGTGATAAACATTTTATATCAAACCACTCTGAATGACTTTGTTTACACCTCAAGTACTGAATTATTCAGAAAATTTGAAAAATCAGTGGAATTTCCCTTTAGAGACAAAAGGATCCACCTCTAAACTCTCATTGTTTTTTTTTTCCAGTAATTCTAGTTCATTATAGTTAATTTTACCTTTCATGTTATAGTTCTGATTTAATTTTCATGTTTTTGAAAACTGTCATATTTACTATTTTCACAGTTAATAAGCATATCTTTCCTCTCTAGTTTTTGTTTTAGTAATAGTTTTAGTTAACTATGATAACCCTGAGGTGGTCTACAGGACTGGAGGTGGAAAACACTACATTAGTTTGTAAAAGGTTCCTGGACTTCCCTGTTGGTGAGAAAAAAGGATAAGGCATGCTTATGTTAGTAGAAGGCCTGGTCTCAGATGGTCTAAACTTATCTTTGATGGCCTTTAGCTAGACTCTTGCTGTTCTAACATGATGTGCTTGACCAGCTGGATTGGCTAGCTTCATGAAACTGACCATCTAAACCATCAAATGTAAACAAAACATACTCTATAAGACATACCATTCAAGCTTAAAACAAAGGGCATGACCAAGCTGCTTGATCTGACCAAGCTGTTTTTTCAGCAGGGATGTGGGTAGTGATGAATTTATTTGGGTCCCTATGCAAGGGCAGACCGCACTGACCAAACAGTAACAAGCCCAAACATTGTGTCATGTCTGAGACATTGTTTTACAGTAGTTCTGAGAAAATGTTTCAGCCTAAAACATCTATATTACACACTATTTTAACGTTATCAACATCACATAAAAACTTGGTTGTTAAGTTTTTCTACGGTGAACCAGAACTATTTCACATTATGAATGACCTTGTTTTTACCTCAACAACTAAACTATGCAGACATGTTGGCAAAATGGTGGAATTACCCTTTAAAAGAAGATAATATGCCTGACTATTGGACTAATTTGTTAGAGTCATTTGAGGTAAAAACGTTGAATGTAAAAGACACATGGCAATGGTAATATAAGCAAAGCTTATTTTATTTCTAATACAGAACATGATATTTATACCCACGCAGTGCAGCTGTCATACCCATACCCAGACTTCATTCAAACATACTCCAGTGATTAACGCAGAGATGAAAGAGCTCTGCTGATATTTCACAGGGTTTTTTTTGTAGATAAACCGCATATTAACTTGATACAGGCTAAAGCCACAATAAGGAATTTCAGAACAGAAGTGGCAGGCCTGCAGTGAATTTTCAAAAGTGCTGACAGAAACAGTCGGACACATTTTTGCATTCTTAAGTCAGAGATAAATCTGTGACTGCAAGAGCCAGCATTAAACATAATTAGTTACATTTAAAGCATTCAATACTGTATATTTACCACATTTATAAACAGCAGATTGAAAATGTGAATAGTGCTCCACAATAAAAACAGCTGCCAAAAAAGTACAATCTTTATAACGTATAAACCCCACAAGAAATACACATAATATTAATGCAAACAAAATAGTTTTACCAGTCCCTGATTGTGGTTTTAATGACAAGTTGTGTTCCTTTTACTTTCCATTGTACTGACTGATGCTCTCAAATTGTGCTGCTTGCTCCATTGCTTTCAAATGGACCATCTTGTACTTCCTCTTCATATCTTTCAGTAAGATCAGTGCCTTTTCATATTCTTTTCTGTATGTGTCTTTGCCTCTGATGACTTTGTCTGAATAGAGAAAGGGATAACAAGCATAATATATAATGCATTACCGTAGAGGTAAACAGCAGGCTGGACACGATAGCAGCAGTTAAACTGTGGGTCATATGTCCAGCTCAACCCATCACACACTAACTGGTGTTGTGGTAAGTGATGAGAAAATAGGAACAGCTGCAGTGCCAGCAGCATTCTGGTAAACAACCTACTTATATGGAGTTTCAACAGACTTCTTCTCTTGAAGCATATTTATTATTAGTATAATGTATGGCTTCCTATGCTTTGTTTGTACATGCATTTCAATTTGAATTCATCGTTTTATTTTTATTCTAATGTACTGTAATATACACTGTAAACAATGATGGAACTTTTCTAACTTCAAGGGCCCATATCCTAATTCTTTCCTGTATGTTATTTTTCCCCTCAGGTCCACTTACAACATTTTATGTAGCAAAAACGGTCATAATTCATGTTTACATGACAGTTTTCCAACCTCTTAGAATTAATCAGGCTGTTTATGTTATTATGCCTTTAAGACTGATATAAGATTAATGAGCTCTGTTCTGATTGGCTGTCCTGTATTGTGCCTGAAATGCTGCTTAGAACTTTAGATGAATCAGTGGAGCTAAACTCCTGTAGACTAAATAGGTAGATACACGTAAATGAGTTGGTCATATGACATAAATGACTTCAACAGTGAATTCAAAAGGGGCTGTTTTTGCATCATAGTTTCCATATATGTACTGTAAGGGCTGGGTAGTGAATGTTATTTCTTTAAAACTTTAACAATGTTTACATATTACTTCACATTTTTATTTCAAAATTTTTCCATGATATAGGCCTTTTAAAAAAATGAAAAACCTGGTTTACTTAAAATTTCGAGTGTACTGAACTTCTAGTATTACGTTAACAGAACATTAATTTGCGTTTTATATTTGTTCAGTTGACTCAAAATTAGTCATCCAGGTTATTCACTTCTTTAAGTTATAATTTTGCATCATGTACAGTGTTATAATATAATACTGTAATATACTGTATGAATAGTTTAGCCCGGTAGTGGTGCAATGTGACATGAGCATTCAATAACTGGAGACCTACTGACAAAGTAAAATACAAACAGGAGAAAAAACTAAATAACACGCAGGTTGCATTAGCTGACAAATCTCCTGCACATATTCAGAGCATCTTATGTCTTAAGCCTGATATAAAATTTTAAAATATCAATATAGCCAGAATTCCAGGGAATACTATCGTACTGTGCTGTATGGCCTGCATGAAAACACAAAGAGGCAGAGTGAAGCTTACCTAGAGGGACTTCATGTACTGTTTTACTCTCCTTCATTTCAGTGAGGATTTCTTTAACTTTCTCTCTTTTTGGTTTGTATGGTTTAACAGGAGGCAGATTCCTTTTCTAGAAGAAGAAAGTCTGTGTCAGACAAAAACTAAGCAGGCAAACACAAGCTTCCCCCAATTCATGTAAAGGCAGCCACTGCATCTTTTCAAACTACTGCTAACACAGTGTCACTGGACAGCTGAACATGCTTGAAGAAGAATGCTAACTGCCAGAGGGAGGGCCAACTCCATACTTAATAGTGGGCATGAGGTTCTTCCCTGTATAACATCCTTCCTTTTATGCCAAACCCACCTTGAATTTGATGCCAAAAACCTTTATTGTTGTCTCATCTGAACATAGAACCCAGTTCCTGGTGCTTACATTTGTAATTAGATGAAAGTAAAGGCTTTCTTCTGACATGGTTCCAAACAGTTTGTTGGTATGGATGTGGCATCAAATTGTGGTTTTGAATTGGTGACCATAAAGCCTTCTGCAAATCTCTAGCTGTGATCCTTTGAGAAATTTCTTTTTTATGGTCACTGCCTGTCTCACCTTATATTTACACCCCAGTGAAACACAGTCATGGATGACTGCTTTAAAGATCCTGAACACTAAGGTGAAGTGAAAAATAAATGGGAACATGGTTCAGATGCATTTTGTTCCTAAGAATTTTTTGGGGTGCCAATACTTGTGATACACATGATTTTTCTTATAAAAAGACCTTTTTGATGAACATTTTTGTTTTCGTAGACCAAATGTACTAATTAAAGTTTTAAATCTTCTCATATTTTCAGTGTAAGATTGAGATAACTGGCCACAAAGAAATGTTTTCTTTTATCCATCTTTACTAAAGGTGGCAATAATTATGGAGCTGACTCTCAATACTTAAATTTAAATAGCAGAAATAAAATGGCTGACTACAGTTAATGTTCTTTGTAAATGAAGATAATTGATAATTAGTAGCTCCCATCTGAAGATAGACCCTGATCGAGCTCACATAAACAAACATTATTCAGTTCTACCCTTTAAACAGAAAGTCAGAAGTCAGAATAAGTCCAATGATAGAACTTTTGTTGCAACGCACCCAATTTACATTCAAGAAACATTGCAAGAAACATATGACTGGGAAACAACAGTGGAAAATAAACTTTAAATTATTGTGGTCAGTTTAAATTAGTGTTGCACTCAGGAGATCATATAATAATTGTGACGATGCTAGTATTGTGTGTGAGTCAGTAACCACAGCAATATGCAGAAAGGTGGTGATGGGCATTCGTGTGATGGAGAATAGGCCATGTTCAGTTTTGCTCTCGTGCACTCTATTGTGCTTTCTTGCCAGCGCTTGACATCGTCTTATGGTGGCTCAATGATCTATTCATAAAATACAAACTCTGTCTTCCGTACTCCTGTCAAGAGTAGCTTGGGCACTGGAACTGAAATGCTTCACAATTGAGAGACTGGTTTACCATTGTCCTAATGACACTTTATTTTAGGAACCGACAATATTTTCATTTTCTAAACCAAAAACTGCAATTCTTTTTTATTTCATGATTCTGTATGATGCTGTTAGTACAGCACACAAACTCAAACCAGTCATGACAGGAAAGCAAAAAGAAAGAAAAGGGCAGGAAACTGAAACGCAAATATGGTATGTTGATAGGACTGTAACGAAAAAGAAATGTGGACACAAGAGGAATGTACAAATGGGAATCATATCAGAGTTTGTGATGGGCTTTTATTCTGCTCCATGGATTCAGCCAAATCTCTGTCTTTTGCCAAAACCACTCAAGATAAGAGCAAATCCCTTGAAGAAAATGGTACTCGGTTATGCCTTCTGCTTTCTCTATAACTGAAAACATAGCAGCACCATCAATAGCCTCAAGAGCCTCATTTGTTTTATTTCTTCTTTCCATCTCTCTGCCATTTACTTTTTTTTAATAGTCATTAAATGAACAGCCATAGTTTCATCAGAACAGGTGGACTGGTCCAGCAAAAATAGACCAATCCAAACAGACTAGACAGGCAAAACATGACCAATGCCAGCCCAAATCTGTGGTGGAAAATAAAGCAGAACGTTGAAAGATTCAGGATTTGTTTCTTACCTGTTTTGGCTGTTCTCTACATGGTCTTTGAAGATGATCCAGATTTGCTTTAGAATCTCTGTACACAAGAAGGTTCTTGAGTGCGTACTCCAGGGCTCTTACACTTTGTTGGATTCCTGATGAAAATAACAGACATTTAAAGCTTTAAATAATCAGAACTCAACGCCAAAGCTTAGATAAAAACAACACTTACCGACTGGTTCAGGCATGTCAAAGTCCAGATTATCATCCAATAGGCCTTCATAGCCTCTGAGATTCTTGGCGCAGTCTTTGGTATCTTGTCTCAAAATGTGAGTAAGGTTCTCTGTCTCCTGTGTTTTTTCCTGATACTCAGTTTCAAGCAAGTCATTAACCTTGTTGAGAAGAGAATAAACAGATACAAAACTTACAGAGGAATGCCACCCAATTTTCAGAATTTCTGCACAATTCAATTGTTGAGACACAGTGGTTTGACATGAGAAGGTTCATTAAAGAGAAACTTACTGACTTGGGTTTCTTTACAGTGGTGGTGATGGGAATGAGGAGTCACAAATATATGAATTTTATTTACTATCCAAACTAATCAGTGAACCTAAATGTGTCTTCTGAGTTTTTATATGTAATGTTATCAATAGCAAAACAGTGGTAAATCTGAACAAATAACTTTTCTTTGGGGATCAGTTTGCCTTGTAACATGCATATATCATTCCACTATTAATGGATTCTAAAAATATGTTTAAGATCTTATCTTAAATCTATTGCAAAACCATGACAAAGGCATCAGACAGAGTATTCATAACCAGTTCATGTAAAAACTTTGCTGTGGGGGAGATTTTAGAGGTGTTGAACACTGCACATGTCTGGTTACCATCACTACCACTGTGAACAATTGTGACTTGATGACTTTCTCTACAGTGGAGCATTTCACATCAAACCACTCTAAATGACTTTAGCTGTGTACAAACTGTGCCCTATACACTATATAGTGCACTATTTTGGGGTTCCGCCATTTTCTAGTGGTGTTCGAAAACATAAGATCCAGTGCAATCAAACAATCTCACAGGGCACTGCAATAAGGAGTGTACAACCAATGTACCCTAGGGGACAGGGGATACCTATAATGCACTGTGTTGTTTGGTTTGATGATTCACACACAACTTCTCTGAGGAGGATTACTGAGCTCAGTTACAATAGCAACATCACCACAGACCTCTCTTCAGACCTGTTACAAATGTAAGTGTGCAGTCGAAACTCAGCGTTTATGGTGGACTGGTGGCATGATGTTTACAGGGTATATGTGACAGAAACTGCAGTCGCACAGTAATGAGCAAAACCTGTATGATGTAGTGTCTGAAATTGTTTACTACCATCATGAAATCTGTTTCCTATAATACCGTTCTATACAGGGACCTTTTCAGAAACAGCATTAGTCTGAGTCTTATTATTATTTAATTATGCATTAATTCAAAATATATATATATATATATATATATATATATATATATATATATATATATATATAGGAGAAATAACTGGCATTAGCTGGTGTAGTACCTATACTTTATGTGGAAGTTCTTTAGCCTATAAAAATGGTCACTCCTACACATCTCAACACCTCATCTATGAAAATGAAATCCACTGAAAAGTTCTTGAGGGACCCAAAAGTGGTTCTTCCATGCCATCACTCCAAAGAAACCTTTTTTGACCTTTATTTTTAAGAGTGAATTATTATAAAACTGCACTGAAATCACCTCTGTTACAAAGAATGGTTCTTCAGTCTGCTGGATTTCTCTATCTTCCAAAAGTTCAGACGCGCTGGCTGCAGCAACGTCTTCCCGTGTCTCCACAGTGCTGGTTTGTGAGAAGCAGGGGAGCAATACATCACTCGACTTGCACTCTGATGGCAGCGGACTTTTGTTTTTATTATCTCTCTCTGTGCAAGGGCTTTCTGAAACACACAGGGCTGCTGTGATCAAGGGAACCTTTGGCACCTTTGGGATTTTACTTCTGACCTGCTTTCAAAAAAAGAGAAAAAGATCAGGGTAACGTTCATCTCTAACACAATGAGGTTAAGTAACACAGCAATGTATGAGGATAGGCATGGAGACAATAAGTAGCCTTCAAGTCAAATGATTGATACTGATATTGGATGTTGATAACCTACCGATTTTGCTAGTATTAAAATGGAATACATGCTATTCTCGTTTACTTTTTAATTCCAAAATCAAATAAGTCTTTTTCAACTGTACTGCCAATTTTATGCAGACATTCAAATTCATATGTGCTTGTTAAAAACAAAGTATTAATAAAGAGTTGCCCCCCACCCCCCCACCTCTTGTTGCTGTAACAGACCCCACTCTTCTGGGAAGGCTTTTGTACTAGACATGACTGCTTTCATTCCTTTAATTTCCATTCAGCCACAAGAGTATTAGTCAGGTTGGGCACTGATGTTGAACAATAATGGCTAGTTGTCGGTGTTAAATTCATCCCAAATGTCAATTTGGTGTTCCAACGCATTGCAAAAACCCAGATTTGTAGCTTAGCCTGCCAGATCATGATTCATCACTACAAAGAATGTGTTTTTTTCCCCACCACTTCAGAGTCCAATGATGGCATGTTTTACACCACACCAGTTCATGCTTGCCTTTGTGCATGGTGATCTTAAGCTTGTGTGCAACTGCTCAGCCATGGAAACCCGATCTGTGAGTCTCCCAACGAACTGTTCTTGTGCTGACGTTGCTTCCAGAGGCAATTTGGAAGTCAGCAGTGTGATTCAGCACTCAGCGATCCCGTGCTGTGAATTTGTGTAGCCGACTGTTTTAAAGGTAGCATCCTATGACAGTGCCACACTAAAAGTCATTGAGCTCTTCAGTATGAATCATGCTACTGCAAGTTGTTTGTCTATGGAAACTGAATAGCTATATGCTTGATTTTATGCACCTGTTAGCAATGGGTGTGGCGGAAACAGTCCCCATACTTTTTTCTATACAGTGTTTGTCTACAGTCAAACTTTCAAGAGCTCTCAGCACCATAATGTTGCATTTTAGTGTTTAAATTCAGAGTTGCATCCCAGAATTGCCACATAGCATTCTTGCTATTGGTTGCCAAAAACTGGCAGTTTTTACTGGAAGACTATACTGGAATTTAAATTGAATAAATTGTAAATTTAGTAAACTAGGAGATAAATGTTTAAAGAAATCAACAAATTAAAAAAATTAATAAATAATTGCACTACCTTTCTTTTGGAATAGACAGGGAGCATGATATGCGGTTTAACAACGTTAGCAGACTTCTTGCGTTGAATATTAATACCCAATCTGTTCTGAAGAAAACAGGTCAGTACTGGTGGGTCACCTAAATAAAGAGAGGTTGAAAAATCAGTAATATGAATTTTCTTTAATCCCACCAAACAGTAACAGCAGCAAATAAAAATCTGAGGCCCACATGTAATGCAACGCACTTTAAAGAGAAAATGACCTTACCGCTCCTTTGTGTAGTCAGTGGGTTTGAGTGAATAACAAGCTCGCTGAGCATAGGAAACAATGCCACAGCCAACAATGCCTCTTCCTCAGCTATCTGAGGAATTGCGAGACAAATGATTGTCAGTGTCTTCAAACTACTGTTTTTCCTAGAATACAATCTTCACAGCTGACACCAGATTACAAACAGACCTCATTGCTGGCCAAATTTAGATATCGAAGCTGCAGAAATGGCGGGGAGAAATCTTTGGAAGACGGCCTAACCTCCTTGTCCTCCTAGCAAAGGAAAAAATTTATACAAGATAGAAGCATAAATTCTACCGAATTCTGTGACCCTACCTCATTTGCACAATTTACAAGCTCTTGTCGGTCCACTTGCAGAGCAGGAAGCCCTAAATTAGATGGAAAACAGAAGCAAGTCTAAGAAAAATGGCTTTCCAAACAAATAATCCTTTTTGTTGTCTTTTTTTTTTTAGTACACATACATTTTGTCCTATTCACATCCTCTGTAGTGCCCTCTGTCTCCAGAACTGAGGCATTTGGTGGTTGCATCAATGGCATTTCTTCAAGATAAGGGACCTCAGAAATGTAATTTCCTTCTAAGTTTAAATGCTGAAGTCTGGAATGATAGAAGAAGATAACAGTCATAAGTTGTAAATCAAAAGCAAAATAATTAAAGTAAAACACCACATTAATATCTATATTGTGTATGTGAGAAATAATATAAATGGTTTGTCAACTTACATATCAAGTTACATTCACTTTATTAGAAGCACCTGCACACCTGCTCAGTCATGAACCTATCCAAACAGCCAATCACCTGACAGCAGGGCAATGCATAAAATCATGCAGACGCAGCTCAAGAGCTTCAGTTAATGCTCACATCAAATATCAGAATGAGAAAAAAATGTGATCCAAGTGACTTTGACTGTAGCATTGTTGGTGTCAGATGGGGTGGTTTGAGTATTTCGGAAACTGCTGATCTCTTGGAATTTTCACGCAGTTCTGAGGGTGATGATAAAAATAGCCAGAAGCTGAGAGGAAGGCCACAGTAATTCGAATAACCAGTCTTTACAACAGTGGTGATCAGAAAAGCATGTCTGCCTGCACAACATGTGAAATCTTGAGGTGGATGGGCTACAACAACAGAAGACCACAAGACCATCCTGTCAGCCAAGAACAGGAATCTGAGGCTGCAGTTGGCACAGGCTCACCCAAACTGGAGAGATGAAAATTGGAAAAATGTGGCCTGGTCTGATGAATCTTGATTTCTGCTGTGACATGCAGATGGTGGAGTCAGAATGTGGAAAAAACAGCATGAATCTGTTAACCCAACCTGCCGTATTGTGGTGGTGTAATGGTATTGGGAGTGTTTTCTTGGCACACATGGGAGTCCTAATACCAATTGAGTATCGCTTGAATGTCACAGTCTGACTATTGTTGCTGACCATATGTGTTCTTTTATAGCCGTAATTTATTCATCTGCTAATGGCTACTTCCAGCCTGATAGATCTGCAGCAATTATGTGATGCAATTATGTTAAAATGGAGAGAAAGTCTAAAAAATGTGTCCAGGTCCTGCCTAGTATTAGAAATAAATTGGCCAGTGAATGTATATCCATGTGAAATGTGTTATATCGTTTTCAGGGTTTTGTTCCAATCAGGATGAAAAGGGAAACAAATGGTAATAATTTTCCAAAATGTACTCTCTGAAGGCTACAGCTTTTAAAGATAGGTTACAGTTTCATGGTTGCACCTCAAGATGGCAGTCTCTAAAAACAAGACTGAAGAGGACAGAACTCCAATCAACCCTTATCCAGGAGATGTCTGTTTATACAGTGGTTTACCTTAACATCTGAACTGAAAAAAAAACTTATCTGTGTCTGCAGGATAGCATGAATGAGGTGTGTTAGATAGGTAACACTACTGTAAGGCAGCTCAAAAGGCTACAAGACACCTTCATAAGCCTTTCATGACAACTGACGTAAACCTATACAAATTTTTAAAGGCTTACTGCAACAAGAGTCATTTGTCATTACACTCTGACATGAAATTAAATCAAAATTGACAAGAGCAGCCTTCATGACAACCGATGTCTGTTGGAATAGGTATTTATAAATGTTTATAGGTGGTTATGTCAGTTGCCATCAGGGCTGGGAAAAATCATTTTAAAGAGTAGCAAAGGCTGAATACTGAATATACTGTTCTAAATATATTCAGTGTTATATCCTGTTTTAAAAAGCAAAAAATAACATTCAGAATACATTTGGAATAGATCTTGGTAAGGCACATGAAAAAAATCTTTTTTTTTTTTGCTTCATTCACACTGTTCCTCGCTGTTATTGGCTGCCAGTTTTTTCATGTAATTATTCTGTTAATACATGAATTCATGAACAATTTCCAAAAAGTTCCAAAAATTATGTTTTTGTGTGTTATCTCCTGCTTCATTTTGTTGCTGCTACCACACTACAACTAACTGGTGTTATTTGTTTGCTAACTCTATATTGTATTGTATTCTCTCTATGGAGAGAAGCCATGTAGATGGAACTTACTAGAAAGCTAGAGGGCACTGTCTTTTAGTTTAAATTGAGCATTTCAATAAGCATCACTGTCAGATGGTAACTGCAGGGTCTTGAATCTCAGAACCACTCAGAGTTCCAAATAAGGATTTCTTTCTGTTTAGATGTAATTGAAGAATGACTGAAACTAAGAATAAAATATGTGTCCTGTGATAAGTATTAAACAGAGAATGGTAATAACTAACCTTTTGAGATTTGCAAGGCTGCTAAAAACTCCAGGAGAAGACAGTTTGTTGTCATCTAGCATTAAAACTTCAAGACTCCCAAACAGTGAGCTGGACTGAGGAGCCCTGTGAAAGAACAGTGAGTTACTGCATGATCCTATGATATATAAAACATGTAAAAATGTGCAAGAACAGCAGGCAGTAATGAACTTTACATTTCATCAGGAGTTGTATAAGGGCCAGCCATGTTAGGTGGAAGCATTTTCAAGCTATTTCCAGTTAGATGAAGCACCTTTAGACGTGGTAGCAGGCCAACAGCTAATATACCATCAGCTGATATGCTATTATAGGACAGGTCCAAAACCTAAAACAAGCAAAATACTGCCATTATTAGAAATCCGTTAAATACGTGAAGGGGAAATGCTCTACTTCTAGGTCTTTTTTTTACAGTGGCATCTACTCCATGTGTATCACTTTAAGGCATACCTCTAATCTGGGGAAAACTTCAGCATTAACTTCCAAAGTGCAAAGGCCATTCAAAGAGAGCTCCAACTCCCTCAGTGCAGGGAACCTGCTAAAAGCCTCTAGAGGTACAATATAAAAATAAGATCAGAATGTTATCACTTTCTATTTAACAAAAATGACGAATCTTGTACACTTTGTGCACTGTGAAATTACAAAAGAGAAACAGGCCTAGATAATGTTTCTATTACCTAAGGTCAAACAATTGTCTGAGGCATTGATGTAAGCAACACTATCAAATTCCTCTAAATCCTGTAGTTCAACCTGTTCAATGAAAACAGATCAGAGAAACAAAACAAAATCCTTTGTGGAACATATAATGAAATTTCCATTAATCCCTTTCATGCATTTTTATGAAAACAAAACAGCTGCAAGACAAGGGCAGACTGTCTCCACAGGGTGATGTAATCAATGGCAGATCAGCCCTCCTACCAGCTGAAGCTTCTTTTCACTTATGTCAACAGAGCACAGGTCAGATGGCTTGTCCACACAGTGCATCGCCATCTGAAAATAACAAGCAAAATAAATGAAGAAATAGCCAACACTGAACACGCATTTCAAATTTAAGAGACTGACTAATACTACATACACAACATATTGACAATGGGAATGGAGAATCAAACAAGGCCATCTTCCTCACCAAAAGTTGTCCATTTAGGGTGTTGTCTGCACACTTTAGAGTCTTGAGCTCAAGTTTGTCACTTTCTGACCCAACAGATGGTTCAGCGCCAGGGTGTTCTGCTGATTTTTTCTTTTTGGGTATTCTGTAGCTTTTCTCCATGCTGCTTCTGTGGGCTACTAGCCAGTGTCCTGTACCTACATTGATGAAAATATAAAAGATGTATCTATTTTTGTTCTGGACTTGTATAATGTTGCAGTTATTGCAATAGTTAAGTGTAAATATTTTACAATATTACAGAAGTGCCAAACACCTTCTTTACTCTGAAAAAATGATCTTATCGGAAAACAGTTTGAAGGGAAACTTTCTCCGTCGTTGTCCAGTTTGTAGACTCCCATTCCAGCCATTCTTCCACATAAGTAACTTTAACCGGTGTCTGAAGGAAATTTCTACCCAGCTAAATGAAAACGGTCATTTCAGAATCCTAACAAACGAGTTAACATCGATCTTTTATAAGGATGTGTTGTTGAGTCTTTTTGGTCTCCTAGCGACGGACTCGAGATGAATTTGGGAGTTGTAGTACATTATGTAGAAAAAGTGTACAACGTTTGAACTGAGCTTATGTAGAGGTGGAAAGCTCAGCCATTTAAAGGACCGTAATTGTAACACTGATTATGGTTTCCTGATATTTCAGAAAAACGCCGTCTTAATGCGGGAAAATTAGGTTAGAGCAATCGCAACAATAATGTCGCAAATGCCTTTCGAGCACTACGTTTCCCAAAATGCACTCAGTCCCTGATTTCCGCATTCAGACCGAAGAGGCTGTCCTGCTGTCAGACTTGCAGTCTGTCGTGTGATGTGAAAGCTCGAATTCTGACTAAGAAGGTTGGAACCAGGCTGGAGCATCATCTCGAGTAGCCTAGTAGTTCGGTCATGGAACTGCTGTCGAGTTAAAAAGGAATGCGTCGTCCAAAGAAGCAAAACCGGTAGCTAACCGACAACTCATTTGCAGATCCATGTGTATGAATGAAGACGGACCTAGCTAGGTTAGCTAGCCGTGTAGGGCTTTTATTTGTGTCTAGTTCGCCCCGTTACTGTATAGTCAGCGTCATTGATATTATTTTGTTATTTGTTTTATATTGTTATTTGTTTTTCATAATCATAATTTACAGCCGAGACAACTAAACGTTATTGTCATAGGAAGCTGAAGCCAGAGTCTTTTTTTCCCGTTCCACCTTAAATATTGCGGCAGTTTTTTTGGCACCTGCACCGTTCAAGGTGGAACTGGAAATAAGAGCAAGAAGCTGGTGTCTAGGAATCCAACTTCTGCTTCGTTGTTGTCGTGGCTTTGGGCTACACTGCGCTTTACTGTCGACTTAAAACGTTCTACGGAAATTCGGGTGAAATGTATTAATGTACATATAAACTGACACGCACAGAGTTGAGCCATAATGGTCTTAAGTATCACCAGATTTTCTATTGCATGAACTAATGTCTCATTGTTCAGTACAAGTGCACCACCTTTTCAGATAAGCTGATGACGAAATCACGTGGTGACGTGTTCACAGTGTTGTTTTGCAGGAGACAACAGACTTCTATGTTCTGTGTAATAGCCAGTGGTTTCCACCTTTCTCAGAAATTAAAATGTTAGAATAGTGTCAGAGTGATAATAATCGGTAAGGAACCATCTCTCCCACTTCTCCTAAACTGGAAATTGACTTTTGTGTGCACTTATCAAAAAAATTACATGATCTTTGCCATTCTTTTGAGAAAAGGTTGCCAGAGTTACCAGGAAGCATTTCTTATTTTTCCAACACAGTGTGCTTCTATCTGCCGACTCAGTTAAAGGCCAAACAGTGTGATTTCTGTGATCTGACAACAGGACCTGCTGAAATAGTCTGAATGCTTGTGTTTCTGATCGGTAACAGTATCATATTAACTAGTTGAACTCTTGCACCTTAGCTTAAAACAGCCGTTTTGTTGGAGAATGTAAAGATAGTTTAAATATTTTAGAAATTTGGGAACGATTTTCACCTACATGTAAATCTTATGACATACAAACTTTGGATGGCTCACGTATAAAATGGATTGTTCATTAACCAAAGGTCTGCTTTAGAATGAGCTGTGTACACTGTGGTCGGTGTTGAAATAAGCTTTATTATCAGCACATTTCTTTTAAAGCTGCATCTTGTTTGAAAGATCAACATCACTCGTCAATGATTTCAGGAGTAACACATTCAGAAAAATTGTATATACAGCAAAATGCAGTATCAGAAGAATTTGAATGAATAATAGGACTCATTTGCCTTTTCATGATCTTCTCTTTTGTTTCAGAAATGGAAACCAAGACATCTACTAGCTCTTCACCAGCACTCCAAGAAGAGCCTTTGAAAGCAACATTATTTATACAAGAGTCAAGTGGTATAACATATAGAATCCCAGCTCTAATTTATATCAGTGATGGTGAGACCTTCCTTGCTTTTGCTGAGAAGCGGAGAACATCACAAGACTGTGATGCAGAGATTCTGGTCATGAGGAGAGGAACCCATCAGGATGGATCTATCCAGGTGATTCCTGAAGACAGTACACAGAACCAACATTGCAGGTTTATTTTAGTACTTTACTTTGAAGAAAAACATGGTGAAATCGCTAAAAGAGGTTTTGTTTTTGTTTTTTTTAGTGGTCGCCTGCTGAGGAGCTCACCACAGCGTGCTTGCCAGAACATCGCACTATGAATCCATGCCCAGTCTATGAGAGGAAGTCTAAGACTCTTTATTTGTTTTTCATATGTGTGTTGGGTACCACCACTGAGCAATACCAGATCCTCACTGGTAAAAACAAAGCTCGCTTGTGTTACGTTACAAGCAAAGACAATGGACAGAGTTGGAGCCAAACAACAGACTTGACAGAAAGTGTGATTGGAGATGAAATTGTCAATTGGGCTACATTTGCTGTTGGACCTGGGCACGGCATTCAGATGACAAGTGGTAGACTCGTCATTCCAGCTTACGTCTATTACATTCATGTTAGATGTTTCCCTTTTCATTTCCCACTAATTGTGAGGCCCCATGCTTTAGCGTTCTATAGTGATGATTGTGGAAGTACTTGGCAAATGGGAGAACGAGTAGGTATTAAGTCTTGTGAGTGTGAAATGGCAGAGATCATTGACCGAGACAGTAGGAGTCACCTGTACTGCAATGCACGAAGCACACAAGGTCACAGAGTCGAGGCTCTGAGTGAGAGCAGTGGAGCTGCTTTTGATAAACCTCACTTCGCACAGAAGCTAGTAGAGCCCTGCCATGGCTGCCAGGGCAGTGTGTTGAGCTTTGCTTCACCTCAGCATACCAGACAGGAAGAAAAGAACTGCTTAACATCAGACACAAAGACTTGGCTTCTGTATTCCCATCCAACCAACAGAAGGACCAGGAAAGCTCTTGGAGTGTATCTGAATATGTCTCCCTTCAGCGCCTCTGGTTGGAGCCAACCATGGATCATCCATCACGGGCCCAGTGGGTACTCTGATCTGACCCAGTGTGGAGAAACTGAGCGCTTTGCTTGCCTCATGGAATGTGGAGTGAGGAGTGAGGTTGAAGAGATAGCCTTTGTGGAATTTTCTCTCTCTGACATCATAAACAATCAGTTATGAAATGAGAAATTTTAGAAATCTTGTTCTTTTCCCCAAATACAGCTTTTCCCACAGTTCTGAAACAAACCTGGGGGGAGCACCATGGGTAGGTTACTGGTATATACGGATATCCAAACTCATCGTAGCATATGTTTTACTTATAAGGGTATTCATATAAGGCATAATAAGAGAATGTTAAATCTTCCATGTTTTTGAATGTAGAGCACCTCATGGACTTAGGTAAAGAGAAGGTTTCATTTGTGGAAATGGCCAAGGGCAAAAAGAACAAAGCTTTGAGTGGCCATCTATATTTACAGTTACATTTTAAACTGTAAATTCATTAGGTACAGTAGCAAATCTAAACTCCAAACTAAATTCATTAAGTTGAGTGAGATCAGCATTTTGTAAAACTTGTCCAACCTGGTAACAGTTGCCATGGCAGAGCATAGAATTTATGGGTAAAGCCTGAATAGGTCAATTGTTACGGTGTTCATGAGCCAATTCTTCTCTAAGGCCTTGCTGTTTTACTAATATAGTACAATCAAATTTCATTTTATTAATCATCTATTACTGTAAGATAGAAAATGGGATGTAGGAAACTGATTTGGTTAGGGACTCTTTTAATGACATAAAATCCAAATTCATTTTATTATGCATTTTGTTTTAAGCATGCTGAAACATTAACTTGTCAAATGGAAATGCACACACCACATAGTGAATCTTTGCTTGTAAAAAAAATCTAAGATAATAAATATTGTCTACCTGAATGCAAACATGTATAGGTCTACCTGACTGTGTTTGGAGAATAGTCATTGGCCACCATTTCTACTAAAGCAAGACAAGTGTTGTCAGTCTTTGCTTTACAAGACATCTCATGACCCCAGTGTATGAAAATGACTTGGCTAACTGTTCCATTCAACTGCTTTAAAATACACCTGTATACATTAACACTTCCCCTAAATACAGTTTCTCTTTCTCTGACTAGCACTGCAATCCATTAGACTAATCTGCCTTTAGTATATTGAAGGATAGGTAATTTACTGTTCTGTTGCTTCTCAAATTAACAATGACAATACAATTTCATTGTTTAGCACCGTTCATTCATATGAAGATCAAAGAGGATTAAAAGACAAAAAGGAGATCATTAAATATCAAATTGTTAGCAGGAAAAAGCACAAAGAATATAGTCAAATAAATATAAGAAACAAAATAAAATAAGTAATAATAACAATGGGAAAAAGTGATAGTAATAATAGTAGTTAAAAAAGGGTAAGGAAAATAAAGGAGTGAAGCATAATCAGTATTACTAATTTAATATTTATGATGAATTGCTAAAAGTTATTTAAAGGACTTCTTATTTTTAACGGGTTTGACTTCAACCGAAAGCATTTTAGGGAAGCTGAAGAGATCAGTTTGTTTTTTTGTGGTTTATTAGATCGTGTCAGTGAGACCACATTTAAATTTCACTAGATGAAACTCAAAGGTTATGCAGCTGAAACAACTTTTTGCAAGATAAGCAAATTAATGCTTGAATGCGTAATGATTTAACTTTATAAGTTTCTAAGTGTTTTAAAAGAGAAGCCTCCAAAACAGGGGAATTTTCCTTAAACTGTTTTAGCAGCTTTTTGCTATTCCTACATGAGACTTTATTAAGAGTAGTGAATTAATATTAATCTCCTATGTTTTTTTTTAATTGCAACCGTGAGCAAAACTGTTTGTACAGCCTGCATTTGCTCTCCGGTTCAGTTTTGCTTGCCCTCTTTTTTGATTGGTTATCTCATGAAAAGTGACACATGATGAACTTTTGGGGTGAAGCTGAACATTTTTCAAGTCAGTCTACAAAGATCTGCCGTGGACAAAAACATGCTCTACGGCAAAACAAGCAGGGCCCGCAGAATATGCTGTGCTGTTTGGATGTAGTATGTGCCTACTGCATCAGAAATTCGTCATCTGAAATTTTGCCCCTGTTCATGTTCAACACGGATTAACGGAAAAATGTGCAAGGGATTGTGGGATAGCAAGTGGAGTGAACGTGAGTTGTGGCATGGCGAGCAAAGTTAAGGTGGCTTCAACTTTATGCAAATTACATTTGGCAGCTGCGCCATGCTCACCAATCTGGAAAAAACAACATTCTGTTATCTGTGCACAATGAGGATGTACCTTTATAGCTCCATCTGCACAACATAGATTAAAAGCTAAAAACAGCTGTGTTTTCGGTTCCCCATTCTTTACAATTCTAAACAGCAAGAATACAGAGACAAAAGGTGGAACGGGAAAATTCAAACAAGAAGCTGCAGAATGAGAAACTGACTTCAGCTTTGTGAAAAGTCGAACGTTGAGAGACATTTTACAAGAAACTGTTCCATTTAGCAAAATGCTGGAGATGCGATAAAAGCGGCTATAGCTGAGCTAAAGCTTAAAGCAGTTTATATTTTTTTAGCCTATACCAGTACATTAGAACATACTGAGACATATTTACAGCCAAGATGGTAAAATGTTACTTCAATAAAATGAACATAAAATGTTGTGGCTCCCAAGGTGGTTTGATTTTTGTTGGGGGGACTCTTTATCATATTTGTGTCGCCAACCTCTGGTATATGGTTTCTTCCTTGCACAGTAGAGTTTTAACTTGCATTTGTGGATGTAGTGAGGAACTGTGGTCACAGTTTTTCAGAAGTGTTCCTGAGCCCACGCAGTAATTTCTACTACAGCAGTGCTGCCTGAGGGCCTGAAGATCATGGTCATCCAATATTGATTTTCAGCCTTGTCCGTTGCATACCGAGATTCCTCTGGATTCTCTGAATCTTTTCATGATATTATGTACCATAGATGATGAAAAGCGAAAGTTCTTTGCTATTTTACAATGAATGGTTATTCTTGAATAGTTGCACTATTTGCCCACACAGTCTTTCACAGAGTGGTGAATTCCTCCCCAACTTTACATCTGAAAGACTCAGCTTCCCATGTTGTTCTAAAAGTGTTTTTATCTGAAAGAAGTAACATTTTGTGAAGTTATCAAAAAAAAAAAAAAAATACTTTTACCAAGTTCTAAGCATTTTTTTTACCTCCCCATGTATTTATACTTCTAACCCCACCCAGGGTTAAACCAATTAACACAGAGGGTAGGTACTCAGTACACATAAAACAATATTAAGGTAATTGCTCCCCACCATGTTTAAAACTGACATGTCATCAGATCTGTTAACATTCTACAGGTAAGTATACTTTTACATGGCTAACATTGACAACGTTCTTCTTCCTTTTCAGGTTTACTGATGACGAGATCACTCCCCTCTCTCCAATTGGTTGTGGGCCCTTACAACCTGGATAAAAGAGGATGTAACTGATAGCAGATAGCAGTTCCCCTACGTGACTCAACAGACCACATTAAGAGGTGAGTACATTTATGTGAACATACATTGCACATGTGCATCACACTGGTAATGAGCTGGAGCCTCTAGCTTCATCACAGTTACCTCATGAAAAGTGACACATGAGGAACTTTTGGGGTGAAGCTGAACATTTTTCAAGTCAGTCTACAAACTGCCGTGGAAAAAACATTCTAAGGCAAAACAAACAAAATATGCTCTGCTGTTTGGATGTAGTATGTGCCTACTGCATCAGAGATTTGTCATGGAAACATGCGCAAGGAATTTGAGAGTTGAAGTAGCTACACTGTGTAGAATTTATGAGTTTATGCAATGGTGCAAAGCTCACTCTGCTGGAAAATCCAGCAGTTTAAGCTATGTTTTGAGACCTGATTGACCAGTTTGACCATCTACCAATTGGCATGCTGCTTACTGAGCTGGTTGACCACTTCAGTTCAACTCCACCTGGTAAGCTGGTCATCATGCTGGCTGACCAGTTAAACTCCAGCTTCAAAGGAGACAATAGGTTTGTTTACATGCTTCTGTATGTTCATTTTTAAGGTGAAGTGACTCAATGTTTTTTTTAAACAAAGCCACATAAAGTTTGAGCTTTACATTTACATCACAGATTACTGTGTGAGTTTATTGGCCGGCTGCAAAGCAGAAATACGATTATTGCCTGACTCATGTAGACCCGGAGTTTCCCCATTATCTGAGCATGTAAATGCTTGATCGCATTGATTGGATTACTGACAAAATTATTAAATGTAAATGTACTCAGTATTTTACATGATATGCTGATCAAGATGAACAAGAGGATAAATTCTCAAGCTGTAATAGAGAAAAACATTTATTGACTATTATAAAGTGTGCATGTGTTTATTTTTGTAGATTTTGATACATTTACACATTTCGGTAAACATTTTGTTGCTGTTGTAGAAACACCTTATTTTTTTAACATTATATAACGACTCCAGCTGCTCTTTACATTGTGTGGAAGTTACATTATTAACGGAAAAATAGAAATGGTGCAGAATCGGTTGTCATAAAATCTTTAAGCTATAAATTTCAGTTTTTTTGTTTGACACAGATGATATACAACATAATTAAACATTAAGTACTAGCACACAATGAGATCTGTTATTAATTGCAAACAAAACTAAACTTACTGCCGGGGTAAATGGTTTTAAATAATTTCTTAAGATGCCTTATACAACAGTATGGTATATAATAAATACAGAGCATAGTAAAATTACATACAGATATTAACATGTAACACATACAAAGCATTCTATTATTTACAATTACATTTAATGTGTTAATAGGTAATGTTATTACTACATACAGGTAATTATATATAATAGATATAGGGTAAATTGTTATTACATACAGGTACTTAGAAATATATAACACATGGAACACATCTTTACACATACATGTACGTCTGTGTGTGTGTGTCTACTTATCTACTGCTGACTTTATTTCTTTTGCTTTTTTCTTTTTTGGTTAATGTCCATTATAGTTTAGTGATGTATTTGCCAGTTTCAGATGTCCTGGTGCCATATATTCAGCTCCTTCAGGAAACAACCTGTAAAAGACATCATAAACTCTTATTACATTAAAAGAGTAAATGCTCAATCCTCCACCTATACTGGGGCAGCAAATGTGGCAGTGCTAGAGAGAACCATAAAACCATAAAATCTTATCTTGTCACAATGTACTTTTAATAGTTAAACCACTTATGCCTTTATGTCCCTGGTATTCCATATCTGTCCTGTTATTCATATTTATTATTATTTTATTGTTTTTATTGAAATCACAATTTAAAAGAGTGAAACTTTCAAATTGCAACAGATATGATTTCAATTATGCTTTATCACCAATGTAGTGATATGTTTTAATGGCAAGCTATTAACTGTAATTTAAATCTCAGTATTTCAATATGGTCAGAAAATCGCAATATTTTGTCCAAACTGTTCAGCGCTTGTCAGGGTAAATCCTGGACATTCAAAACCAGCCCTGTGACCGGAAGGTCACTGGTTCGATCCCCAGAGCCGACATTACCCTTGAGCAAGGGTACTCAACTGCTCCCCGGGCGCTGAGGACAGGGCTGCCCACCGCTCTGGGCAAGTGTGCTCACTGCCCCCTAGTGTGTGTGCGATCACTAGTGTGTATGTGGTGTTTCACTGCATGGATGGTTCAAATGCGGAGGTGAAATTTCCCCGTTGTGGGACTAATAAGGGTCACTACAGAAATATGGTGGGGTTTCCCAGAGTGTAACATACTGCCTAAGGTAAATTTTTAGCAATTTCTGTACAGCTTAAATGTTAACGGTTCAGAAGAGTTGTAAAATTATGGAAATCTAAGACTTCACAGTTTCTCTTATGAACTCATTATGATTCATTTACACAAGCACTTCTAGCAGTAAGAAATTTCTCCAGCAGCAGGCACTGTAAGTATATATAAGTTGCTTTTTTAAACAAATAACACTGTTACTCAGCATTACATTATTTAATATATAATTTCCCCAAAGATTTTCATTATATACCACTTAATGTTAAAAAGCCTGTATGTCGAAAGCCAACATAAAATTAAAGTAATAATAGAGGCTATAGAAATCGCTAATGTAAATACATCAAGATGCATTGACAATTGTTTTCTGGTTATGATACCATATCCAGTTTCAATCTGCAAAAAAAAAGGAATCACAGTTATATGTTATCTTAATGTAACATAATTTCACCACAGCTTGACTATCATTACTTACTTGCAATCAGTATTCAAGGGCCTGACAACTCAGAACCCCTTTAAATCTGTATAAGATTTACATGGAATATGCCCATTAGGAGAAGCTCTGTCCAGTTCCACTAAACTCAGCAGTTGTATGTCAACTCAGAGAAACAGCTATCCAAGACTGACCTGTAGTATTTAAGTGCCAGAGCCTGTGTCTAGTTCCACTATCCTCACCTGCAGTATTTTATTTTAGAGAGCCAGCGTCCAGTTCCACTATGCTCACCTGTGGTATTTTGTTCTCAGAGAACCAGTGTCCAGTACCACGACACTCACCTGTGGTATTTTGTTCTCAGAGAACCAGTGTCCAGTTCCACTACACTCACGTGTGGTATTTTGTTCTCAGAGAACCAGCATCCAGTTCCACTAAACTCACCTGTGGTATTTTGTTCTCAGAGAACCAGCGTCCAGTTCCACTACACTCACCTGCAGTAATGTATTTTTAGAGAGCCAGCGTCCAGTTCCACTATACTCACCTGCGGTATTTTATTCTCAGAGAACCACCGTCCAGTTCCACCACACTCACCTGCTGTATTTATTCTCAGAGAACCAGTGTCCAGTTCCACTACACTCATCTGCGGTATTTTATTCTCAGAGAACCAGCGTCCAGTTCCACTATACTCACCTGCGAATGCTCACCTGTGCAGTGTAGAGCTGTCTGTTATCTGGATGAGCTGTTCCAGTTGTTGTTAATCATAAAACAAAAATATTAAGCAGAATATTTGATTGACATAATAATTACAATAGTTAAAAATTACATCATTAATGAACTCATGA